CCTTCATCACTGGTTAGAAAGGCACAATCCCTCTCCCCTCTGCGGAAAAGGAAACTAAACGCCTCTAGGCTGGTTATATTAACTATGTTTTTATCTGACGATTTTTTTTAGTCTGGTCTCAACCATCATTCAGTGTTTGATGGCAGTAAATGATACTTTAGTGCAAATGAACTCCAGAAACGGAAATGTTTGGTGGCTATGCCGCATTTCATCTAATTGTCTTTGTTGTGGTTTATCGCAGTTAGAGTTGTGTTGCAATGATTTCCGAAAGAATTGACGCCAGGTGACAATTAATATGGTTCCCAATTTTGCCGGTGACAGAAAAGACATTTTTTATCCTTGGTCAGCCTGATCGTTAAGGAGCCTTCCACGTTGCACTTTATTTCTTTGCATTTGCTCGGGAGCCTTGCGCTGTTGCTGGGCCCTTCCTGCTAGCGTGCCGGGACACTCTTCGTCAATCAGGGAACTTCCATGCATGATTTCCATTCACCCGAAACGTACTATACCTTAGAGCCGGGGACCTCATATGTTGACATGTCAGGATATTCTGGCTGCTTAGGGGCTTTTCACGCTGGTCACGCATTGGTCTAGGGCCCTTCCAATTCTCTGCCACTTGCTTAGGGCCCTACTCTCTTGTCTGGGGCTCACCTGTTAACCTACTTGGGCTCACTCGGTCGTTCGGGGCCGTCCAAATTGGGTCTTGAATATTTTCTATTTAAATGGAGGGCCCTATGTAGTTTGTCAGGCTCCTATCTGTTAGCCTGCTCGGTTGCAATGGATTGTTCGAAGGCCCCGCAAATTTGGTTCTGGTATTTGAATGTAGGGCCCTATGCCCCTGTCGGAGCCCTCTGATGGGCTGCTTGGTACATCCGATCTTTCGGGGCCCCCACACTGGGTTTTTGAGTACTTCTTATTGAATGGAAGGCCCTGCGCTCTTGTCGAGGCCCCATTTCATAACCTGCTCGGGCAAACTCAATCGTTCGGGGGCCCTCTTCATTGGATCTTGGGAAATTTCTTTTCGAATGGGGGCCCCACACTCTTGTCGGGGGCGCTGACTGTTAACCTGCTCGCGCACACTCGGTTGTTCGGAAGCCCTGTACATTGGGTCTTGTGTGCTTCCTATTTGAATGGAGGGCCCCTACTTCTCTTGCCTGGGGTCCTATCTGTTAATCTGCTTCAGCCCACTCGATCGTTTAGGGGCCCTCTATTTATGTCGTAGATATTTCTTATCTGAATGGAGTGCGCTATGCTCTTGTCGGGGACCCCATCTGTTACCTTGCTAGAACGCACTCGAGTGTTCGGGACCCTCCACACAGTGCCTTGGATACTTTCTATTTTAAATGAGAGTCCTATGCACTTGTCAGGGGCCATCTGTTCATCTCCTCGGGTACACTAGATTGTTCGAGGGCCCTGCACATTGGGTTTTGCTATTTGAATGAAGGGCCTTACGCCCCTGTCAGGAGCCATCTGGTATCCTGCACGGGTACACTATCTTCCGGGGGCCTCCACACTGGGTCTTGGGTACTCCTTATTTGCATGGAGGGCCCTGCACTCTTGTCGGGGCCCCTTTTGGTAGCCTGCTCTGGCACACTTCATCGTTCGGGGGTCATCTACAATGGGTATTGAGTACTTCTTTTATTAGTGGAGGGTCTCACGCTCTTGTCAGGAGCCTCCCATCTATTAACCTGTTCGGGCAGGGTAACCTCTCATTCCTGGGCCCTCCATACTGCATTTTGGATACTTCTTATTTGAATGGATGACCTTATGTTGCTGTCGGGGCACCATCTATCAAACTGCTCGCGCCAATGGCGGATCCAGAAGAGAAAGGACGCCGAACTGAGCTCCCCTTGTGCCCATTGGGAACTCATATGCTCTGAAAGGGCCCACGACCAGGCGAACGGACGCAGCCTTCAAACAAAATACACGACAAATTTGGACGTCTTTGGGCCTCCGGCCAACCGAGAACAGTCAGCGAAAGTGAGGCCCGCGAGCAGACAAACTCATTACGCTGTCCAGAGGCATTACGCCTTTTCCCAAGCCCTATATATCCACTTGCCGGGTCACTCTGATAGCTAACGAGCCTCCCACGTTATCCGTGATCCATTGGCATTGTTTCCTAAGGCCCTACGCTGCTGTTGGGGCACTATCTGCTCGCATACCCGGGCGCTCTTGATCCATCAGGGACCATCCACGTATCATTCATTTGCCCGAAAGGCTCCGTACGCTTTTGTTGGGCCCCCATGCGCCGGGGTGCACTCAGTTAGTCAGGGGCCCTTTATATTAGTCTGGTTCTTTCCACTTGCTCGGAGGGCCTTGTGCTGTTGTTGGGGCCAATATAAGATAAGGCACTCAGCCACTCGATGCTCAGGATCCCTCTACATTAATATCGGGCTCTTTCCCTTTGATCTCGTTTGCGAAGTACCCTTCACTCCAATCGTGGCCCCTTCCGTTAGCCTTCCCGAATACTCTTGATCGCACAGGGCACTCACGCACACTGGTCTCGGGTGCACACGCGCTGGGCGCAAAATGGCCCTGATGCCGACGCGCCCTTAAAACCCAAATCACCACCGGGTGCACACGCGCACACCGGCCCCCTTGCTCAAAGGGCCGGTGCTCCGGCTCGAGTCCTATATGACAGCCTGCCGGGGCACTCCAGATCGTTCAGCAGCCTATGACGTTGGTCTTGAGTTTTTCTCGCTTGCTTTGAGGACCCCATGCTTGTTGACGGAAGCCTCTTCGTTGGCCTGCGGGCACGATGATCGCTCAGGTTTCGTCGCTGTTAGCCTTGGCCTTACAGCTGCAGTCAGATATGCGCCAATGTATTTTTACGCGCATTGTCGGACATCATCTAGCGTGTCGCCGGCTTCGTAGGTGATATTGCGGTTGGTTATTGAGCTTGTTACATCTATAATGCATGCACATCGCATTCTTATCCATTTCATATAAAACATTTTTACGCTAGGACATTTTGTACTCCTGCATAACAAAGCTAAAACTTTTCATTAGTGATCAGCTATCAGCTGATCATATTGACTAGCTGCTTAGGCATAAATGTGCCTGGAATCAAGTTCGTGGTTTGATTTTAGGTGGCATTTAGCAATCAGCTTTAGCTTATTTTGCCAACTTTTTACGAAAAATGCTTGGCTTCAAAATGACAGGATTCTCTATGATCTGCAGAAAAACGATTAGTTCTAGGCACGTGTATGCGATGCGCTCGTAGTTCTCCAGGGATGCGCGCGGTAAGGGGACTTCCGTATAAAAACAAGGTATTTAGAGTCTTAATATTTGTTGGCCCGACTTTGATGATTTCGTTTTGAGGGGGGGGGAGAGGGGGCTAAACTCCATGGGGGCTTTGCAACGTTGGGTGGCTCGCCCTTGACGAAATCCTGGATCCGCTTCGGAACATGGGACATCTGACCTTCTTATCCGTTATCTCACCTCATCCTCTATCCTCGCGACACCCTGTTCGTCCGGGGTAGGCTGCATGCGTCAGCCACGAGTAGGCCGCGAGGCCCTCTGGGAAGGCGGACTCCGACCGGGTACTCAGCCGCGTGCCGCTGACGACGCTCCGGATCAAGTGTCCTGCTGGAGAAGCCGATAGACCGCCAGACGTAGCTTCACCGGGTCGCGGAGTGGTGTATGGAATGTGGTGTAATTCAATAGACTGGCGTTGTAAGGGTGTGCCATGTTCCGACGGTCCCAGTGGACATGTGCAGAAGTGGACGGCCCACCAGAGAAAAAGCGGGGCTGCAGCCAGGTGCAGCTGATGAGTGACGTCAAGCAAACCAATGCATCAAAGAAAACAAACAAATTTATTTTCACTATATACACCTACAACAGAGCTGAGCACACGGATTGTCGAACAGGTACAAACCCCACGGAAGAGCGCACCAACATGTCATCAGGGAAGGCGAGACCAATGAGCACGCGTTCAACCGGCACCGTAGAACATGCAGCGCTTGGTCGAGATGAAAACCCGAGACACAACCGCGCGGCGGGACCAGCCAAGACCGGCGGCGGCCAAAGCGTCGCGTCCGCCATACACCTCAAGCTGACAACATCGAGCCAGGTCGCCCGACCAGACAATCGTCTCTCTTTGGAAAATCAATCAGAACGCTACAACCGTCGCTTCCACCAGGTTCACGAGTCAGAATTGACACCGAGCAAACGAATTTAATAATACACATCTGGACCTGCTTATTGGGCAAGGACGATTGCCGGAAGAGACTAGCAATATCAATTGCCAGCCTCGTGTAACATACACAAATTAAGGCAGGTCTTGCCTTTACACAAACGAGTAGACGTCCAGTTGCGTGAGAACGGCCTCCAAAACAGGCATTGGAGCAGCAAGCGATTCTTCATACGGAGTCCATAAAATAACACGTTTAATGCTAAGGTTACTAACTGGGAACTTCTCTGCGATGCCCCAGCCGCACCACTCGGGATCGCAGCTGGCAATATGAGAGATTCCATCCGTTAAAATATATACTGAGCCCAGTCGAATGAGTACTCCACTACTACAATGCCCATCTAGCAGGTTGTTAATACTTCAAACAAGCCTGGCCTAGGTTTCAAACCCGGCGCTCATTACAAGCATTCCCCGCTGAAACGTAGCACACATACCCAGCAACACCCAACACCACGAGGAACATGTCCAGACGCGATTGGACGCCCAGACTGGGGGCAGTCTGAAGCTGCCTGCCCGGCTCACTCCATCAGGAGCCGGTGGCAGGACCAGCCGGTCCGCCCCTGAGCTCACTCCATCTGGAGCCGGTGGCCGGCCCGGCCCGCCCCTGAAATCACTCCATCTGAAGCTGGCTGCCGGCCCAGCCCGCCCCTGAGCTCACCCCATCTGGAGCTGGCGGCCGGCCCAGCCCGCCCTTGAGCTCACTCCATCTGGAGCTGGAGCCGGTGGCCGGCCCGGCCAGCCCCTGAAATCACTCCATCTGAAGCTGGCGGCCGGCCCAGCCCGACCCTGAGCTCACTCCATCTGGAGCTGGCGGCCGGCCCGGCCCGGCCCTGAGCTCACTCCATCTGGAGCTGGCGGCCGGCCCAGCTCGCCCCTGAGCTCACTCCATCTGGAGCTGGCAGCCGGCCCAGCCCGCCCTTGAGCTCACTCCATCTGGAGCTGGCAGCCGGCCCAGCCCGCCCCTGAGCTCACTCCATCTGGAGCTGGAGCCGGTGGCCGGCCCAGCCCGCCCCTGAGCTCACTCCATCTGGAGCCGGCGGCTGGCGCGGGACGCAGGTCGACCGCGGGCCCGTCCGGTTGGCTCCGGCTCGCTCGGCGTCGCCAGTTCTGGCGTCAACGACATGTTGCACACCGTCTTTATAGTGCCGGACGAGACTGCTTCTGCAACGACAGGAATTACTGGGTCAGATCACAGGATGCATCGTAATGTCAGGATTCATATAAAAAAGTGGCTGCGCCAGCTCTCAATAAGCTATGCCTAACAAACTGGCACTTATATAACCAACAAATGATTAACGTCAGTGCAGGGTACTAGGCTCCGTCTGACATACACTGGACTATGTCTGATCACGGGAGGCTTTGTTCAACAATGGCAATAGGTCACATCTGAGCAAACGGTTCAAAAGCGGTACTGAGTGCGCTCGCAACCGGCCCTATTAAAAAGCTAGTCAAGTAACAATATATACTATCCAGCGAGGCAACCAGGACCACAAATCAGCAAGTGAGATCACTACGACCATTACTCGGGGCGGCAGTGAGATCACGACCGTCACTCGGGGCGGCAGTGAGATCACTACGACCGTCACTCGGGGCGGCAGTGAGATCATTACGACCGTCACTCGGGGCGGCAGTGAGATCATTACGACCGTTACTCGGGGCGGCAGTGAGATCACTACGACCGTTACTCGGGGCGGCAGTGATATCACGACCGTCACTCGGGGCGGCAGTGAGATCACTACGACCGTCACTCGGGGCGGCAGTGAGATCACTACGACCGTCACTCGGGGCGGCAGTGAGATCACTGCAACCGTCACTCGGGGCGGCAGTGATATCACGGCCGTCACTCGGGGCGGCAGTGAGATCACTACGACCGTCACTCGGGGCGGCAGTGAGATCACTACGACTGTCACTCGGGGCGGCAGTGATATCACGACCGTTACTCGGGGCGGCAGTGAGATCACTACTACCGTTACTCGGGGCGGCAGTGAGATCACTACGACCGTCACTCGGGGCGGCGTCACTCGAGCTATCAGAACACACTCTGTGAGGTGTGTCCTGATAACTCTGTCTGTGAGACTCGTGATGCGAAGTTTTGGTGGTAGCATTTCTATCCATAGTTTTCACAAACGTTTCAAGGAGCCTAGTCCGGCGATGTTCACTCTGAAGATCATTCGAACCCTACGCAAATGGTGATGGGTTTGTTGGCCAAAGGCCATGCAGTCGGGTTTCTGAATACCATGAGAAGTCGTGACTTTCTCTTTCTGCACCGTAATAACCTATCACAATGGATTGCTGCCTTCTTCTTTCGGAATTCTTTGATGCCGTTTCAAAACGAGTGAGCACGAGCATATTCCGGTCCGAATTCGTAAGCGTACATAACCTTATAATGTGCATCACACATTTGACTACCTGCTGAAGCCTTAGCGTGATGATCTGTGGAGGGACACCTGTGACTCGAGGACAATCCTCTGTTGGCGTTGAACAAAACATCAACTCATGACAGCTCCTTAGCTCAGCTCGAACGTGGGGCGACAGTGGGACGCCCAGCGGAACGGGGACCCACTAGGGATCCACCACGCGCTCTCAACCGCAAACGCGGCGACACCAGGTGACACGCTGAGCGGTGACCGACCCCGGACGAAGGTCATGGTGCCGGGTGTGAGCAGGTTCTCGGGCGTGCCGGCCGGCAGCAGGGTCGGGGGCACGCTGGCCGCGTCCAGCAGCGCGCCGTCCGGCAACGACAGGCAAGTGCGGTCGTCGTACAGGATCGGGACTGGGGTCTGCGGCGCGGGCACGGGTCAGGCGATCAGGCGGACAGACGGACAGGAGGAGGACAGGCGGACGGCCGGGGTGCCGGTCGACGGAGGACAGACGCGCGACGGCCGCGCCGCCAATGACGCAACCCGTCACAGCAGTGGCCATGCATGCTGTACGGTATGCAGGACATTGACAGTGACCCATGGATTTGAATCAAACCAGAGCTCAGACATGTGCACAAGCAGTGCAGCAATATGAAATGAATATGGATCGAATATGAACTTAGTGGAAATGGTTCAGCTGGGATTGACAAGATAGCACACTGGCCGCGGACGCGTACGCCAATGCATAGCGTTAGTTACAACATTCGACAGGACTGCAAGAATCGGGAGCAAAGATCACCCATGGAGTTTCGTAATCAAGGATTGCCTGGATTGCTACAGCTCGGAGGCTGTGCACTCTATGTAAACAGCCGAACGCGAACGAAACAGACCGCAGGAAGGTGACGGGCACGTGCGCCGCTGCTGGAGGCGATCCAAGCACGCGGCAAGACGCACCTGTTCTGCGGCGTTGGCGGCGGACGCGCCGCCGCCGGCAGTGACGGCGCGCACCACCGGCACCAGCTGGTAGGCCACCACCTGGTGGTGCGGGTGTCGGGGCGCCAGCAGCCGCTGCGGCCGAGGCGTGGCGGCCGGCGCGGCGGCCAGCCAGGAGCCGCGCAGCGCCGCCTCCAGCCGGCTGCCGGCCGGACCGTCGCCGTCGCCGTCGCCGGCCGGGCGGCCGCCCGTGTGGCGTACGTAGATCTCCTGGCTGGAGCCGTCGCCGGACCGGATCAGGATGCGCTTGACGCCGAGCTGGCGCAGCTGGCTGTGCTGCGCTGGCGACAGACGGCTGACGGGCGGCGGTGGCGGTGGCGGCGGTGGTGGCGGCGGCGTCGGCGTCGGCGTCGGCGTCGGCGTCGGGGCAGCTCGCTTTACCTCAGCCTGAGCGCGCTGCACCTCAGCTAGCCGCCGCTTCAACACACTCTTGCCACGGCTGCCGTCCACCGTCTGCTCGAACAGCCGGTGCCGCTCGAGCGCCGTCACGCGGCAGATGTCGTCGAGCGACGGCGGCCGCGAGAGGGCGCGTGGCGTGCCGGCCGGCGTCGGCGGTCCGCTCCGTCCGGTGCGCGGCGCTGGCGAGAAGGCCGCGCTGGATCAGCGGTCACCAGACGCATGATATGGCCGCTACGATCAGCGGCGCAAATAGAATCGCTTGCATTTGGCTGCAGAACCATGCTTCTACATGATGCAAGCAATCGTCCAGGTTGTGACAAGCTGTCGAAGAAGAAAAATTCACCGTGCAGAAAGTGCACGCTACAAAAGATGATCGACGCACAAAGTACGGCAAGATACTGCTATGGACGTTTCCTTGCACATCTGCAGTGACAATTGTTGTCAGCACGCCCAGCCGGCCCGGAGGCACATCATGCCGTCCCAGCCGTGTCGCGGCGCGGCCTCGGCCGCGCGGTGGAACGCGACCTATCGCCGTGGGCGCTGACCGCCGTCCCGCGGCGGGCCGTACGGGACGCGTGATAGGTGCGTGTATGCAAGCTGACTTATGAGTGGTAGTTCACCCGAACTTAATGGTATGTCGTGTCTGCCTGGGATAGCAGGGGCAGGACGCCGCTGGACTCGGTTCAACACAGATCGCCGCGTCGCTACACGTCTCTCTCTGACCGAGCTGAGCCGAACCGCTGGACGAAGACATCACAGCAATGATACACCGCAAACTAATAACGACTCTCAAATTAAGTACACGATTTTTAGGGCAGTGTTCAGGAAAGGTAAAACCATTCGTTTAGGTAATTTCAATTAAAAGTTAACGTAGTGAAATTGCATAGGAAAATTTCGTCCCATCCACAAACTTTACCGTCGGTACGGGACTGCCGCAGCGTGAATCTAAGCCGGGCAACAATCAATACCGTTTTCCAGCCGACGACACAGTACACGAACAAGGAACCGGAACGGAGAACGGGCATCCATCACGTGCGCGGAGATAGCGTTACTGCAAGACACGGTGCCAAAGGGAACCGTCAGTCCCAACGGATGTGTCCGCAGGCGCTCACAGGATCGCAGTCAGGGGCCACGCGCCCCGGAGCCGGCCGTCCGACGGCGGGGCTCCGGCGCTCGCAACAAGCCTCACTCACTGGCGCCTGCGGAGCGCGGCGCTGCCAGACCGGCCGGCCTCCGCAGCAGTGGTGTCGTGGGAATGAGCGAATGCCGGGACCGCTGCATGTCTGAAACAGGCCAGCACCACCCGTCACCGTCCGGTGGCGCGCGCACCTCTCAGGATCAACAGGCACGGATCATGGGTCATGGGATCAACAGACATGGGTTGTGGGATCAACAGGCACGGGTCGTGGGACCAACGGGCACGGGTCGTGGGATCAACAGGTACGGGTCGTGACATCAACAGGCACGGGTCGTCAGATCAACAGGCACGGGTCGTCAGATCAACAGGCACGGGTCGTCAGATCAACAGGCACGGGTCGTCAGATCAACAGGCACGGGTCGTCAGATCAACAGGCACGGGTCGTCAGATCAACAGGCACGGGTCGTCAGATCAACAGGCACGGGTCGTCAGATCAACAGGCACGGGTCGTCAGATCAACAGGCACGGGTCGTCAGATCAACAGGCACGGGTCGTCAGATCAACAGGCACGGGTCGTCAGATCAACAGGCACGGGTCGTCAGATCAACAGGCACGGGTCGTCAGATCAACAGGCACGGGTCGTCAGATCAACAGGCACGGGTCGTCAGATCAACAGGCACGGGTCGTCAGATCAACAGGCACGGGTCGTCAGATCAACAGGCACGGGTCACGGATCGTAAGACCAACAGGCACGGCCTACGCACTGTTATGGGCTAGTCATCTGCTGCGATCATACAGGACCCCTCCGGCAACACCCACGCTATTTGTCCGCGTTTCGCAAGGCGCTGGCTTTCGACGCTGTCAACGCAGCAGCCCCCGCAAGAGCACAACCAAGCGGAGCGTTCAGGCACTGGCTAGCGCTGGCTGACTGGCACGGAGGAGGCCTTCGTGCCAGACCAAAATAAAATTATTTTCCCCATATGGTTGCGATCGCCATGTTCCACTACGGTGACTTCTTGTGGTCAACTATTGAGTGGAGTCTCTGTCGGTCATTCCATGTACATCACAACCTTACGTGGATTCAAGTTTCGGGATGCGGTCAATCCGTTCCACCAACATCAAACCTAACGAACCCGTCTTCAAGCCTTTAGGCCAGAATAGTTTGAAATAAAGCGCAGCCTTTACTTGGCCTCTACGACATTGTTCCGCAATGCAGAATACATCAGCACATGAAAACCTGTATCATGGTTGCCACCACAGCACACCAGCCTAGCCGATCTGAAGCGGCGCACCATGACAACGGGCAGTGCCTGTGACGCGCTATCACGACAGCGGCGCAGCGGCGCAGCGGCACCGGCAGGAGCGGCCCCGACGGGGACATACCGGGCTCCACCGGGATCGGGTCGACGTGCGCGCCCGTGTAGGCGAAGAGCGGCCGCCGGCAGGCGCCGCTCGTCTCCTTGCCCACCAGGCCGACGCTCTGCAGGATGTTGGCGATATCGTAGAGCCGGCGGACCTTCGCCTTGTGCTGGCCGTCCGGCGACAGGCCGTCCTGGCCCAGCAGCACCCGCGCCAGCACGTCCTGACTCAGCCACGGCTGGAGACGACCGACCAACAGTGAGGCACTAGGCGGGACGGCGGCCCATAACACTATCCCACCAGCGGTGCCACCTGGCTGGTGATAGGGAACGCGCCAGCGTCCTGTGATAACCATCGACCGACGGACGATGCCCTCAACACAAGACCAAGGGAAGCGGCCGAGCAAGAAGTATATTACTGCGGTGTCCTGATATTAAGCAGCGGCACAGACACCGCGAGTCGTGCTGCCACAGGCCAGCGAGCCCCGCTCGGGGAACACCCCTGGCTTCCCACCAGTACCCGGCGGTGGCTGACCAGAGGCCGCCACAGGTCAGCGAGCCCCGCTCGGGGAGCACTCCTGGCTTCCCACCAGCGACTGGCGGTGGATGGCCAGAGGCCACCACAGGCCACCGAGCCCCGCTCGGGGAGCACCCCTGGCTTCCCACCAGTCACACCGGGCAGCGGCTGACCAGACTAACCCGGTCGCTGACGAGCAGCAGCATGACGAACTTCTGAGTAAGCACGCCGAGCGTGCGGTCGCCGCGGTCGCGGGGCGTCAGCCGCTCGGCGTCGGCGGCCAGCGGCGTGCGCGGCGTACCCGGCGTCAGGCCGGGACTGGTCGCGCCCGTCAGCACCGGCTCGGACGCATTGCGACGCAGCGCCGGCGACTGCAGGCCGTCCGACACCTGCAGCGCCGCCCGCAGGTGCTGCGGCAGCTCCAGGTGCAGCGCCAGCCCCTTCAGCCGACCCAGCGTCTCCAACAGGTCGCGCCTACCGATCCACGCGTACCGGTTCTTTTCCAGCTGCGGCAGAGGCGTTGTCGATTGGCGTCATGAATCAGGGTCGAGGGCGATGCAGATTCGGGTTCATCTGTGTGTTACAGGGTTTGTACACATGCCTCAGTTGTTAGGATGAACCTTGAGTTTGTATTTAGTTCCCCATAAAGTCCATTTAACATCAGTTGGGCAGAGCGCCGAGAATGCGCCGCAGAGATGATTACCCACGTTTTCACTGCGTACAACAGAACCTTACTGACATCTTGAAATGACCTGCAAACCTAAAAGCTTCCAAAAATTGCTGGAGCCAAGGGATGGATCTTGACGTACAGACGTCCCACGAAGGAAGGAAGCCCCAGTAATGTATAGTGATGAGCCCGGGGAGCGCAAAATTAACTCCCATATTCAGGTGTCCGAATATCTCTCGCCACCAAACATGAGGACATCTTTTTAAAAACACAGCCTTTCATCTCGTATTAAACGTCATTTGGTGAGTTTTGGGGGGCTTAAGCCACCATGGGAAGGTAGCACGACGAGCACATGGGCCAACACATTTCCAGGGATACGCATCTCCGCACATGCGGTTATATAACATTACCCGGACGCGCGAAAAAAGCGATTACCCCAGGGAGGAGTTGAGAAGGTCCCGGGACTCGTAACACATGTCTTACCTTAATCGAGAAATGCAGACTTTCTAGAACATTTACTATGTCATATATTCTTCTTCGCTCAGTGCCCAAAAGAAGGGCCGTCTCGTCTAAGGGGAGGAACATGTCCTTTCCGACGTCCAACGGGTATATTTCCAGAAACCTGGAGAAGGATAGCTTATGAACATGGAAACATGACAGGAGCCACCCATGCTGTACCCAACTGGCCTAAATCCAGTTGCGATTTGCAGAGGGTTTGACGTCAAATCATAAGGGACATATAAAGCTTTAAGACAATTTTAAGACTTCACTGAAATACTTACATCGTATATGACCGTGATAAACAACACAAAAACATGCTGAATAACAAGTTACTGCGAACTTTTTTTTAAACTACGAAAATTAACTACGAAAATTCAGAGTGCAACGTTCTTTGTTGCACACTCCAACAAGGAAAAACTGTTTTTACCTACAGTTAACATGATTATTCATAAGGAGTCCATTTACCTAGCACACAGCACCGATAGGGACTTCTCTTTTCTCGGCTTCGACACAGAGGCCGGAGCTGGTGGAGGGGGCGCCGGCAGTGGACTGTCGGCGCCAGAAAGTGGCAGCACGTCGCTCGCGTGCTTCTTCCACCGCAGCTTCGGCGTAGCCAGCGCCTTCTTCAGCTTGGCGGAGTCCCCAGGCCTAGATAAGGACACGGGCGTGTCGAACACGCTGCGGTACTGCTGCACGGGCGTGGTCAGCAAGCCGCCGGGGGCGCCGTGCGGCCACGCGCTCCCCTCACTGCACGGCGTCCGCGGCGGCTGTCGACCGTCGCAGGTCGGCGGCAGCGGTGAGGCCGGCCGCCGGGTCGGGCCAGCTGCCGCCGCCGGCACGTTTTCCCTGTCCGCTGGTGGCGACGGCTCGCCACCCGCCGCGCCGCCGGTGAACAGCGACTTGCGTGAGCCGCCGCCGGCCTGCTGCGAAGCAGCAATAGTGGTGAGCAGCTTCAGGTTGGTCATGGGCGTGGGCGGCGTGTCGCTGGGGCGCGGCTCGGCGGCGCGCCGCTCGCCCGGCCGCCGGCCCTCGCCCGACCAGTCGGGCGTGGCGCACACGTTAGTCAGCTGGCCCAGCGGCCGGCGAGGCGGCTGCGGTGGCGTCTGTGGCACGCCGTGGGCCGCCTGGCCTGTAAACACCGACCAAATGTACATACAGCTACCCTGTCAGGTGATGCAAACACCCACCAGATGTACATCCAGCTACCCTGTCAGATTATACAAACACTGACCTGATGTACATTCAGCTACTCTGTCAGGTGATAGGCACAGGCATAGTGAGTGGCATGCAACAAGCTGGTCACAGTAACCAGTTCTCAAATCCTTATGACTGGCACATTATGCAGCAGCAACAAGTGGTATATGAGTGAACTCAGGCATTTTAGATCAAATATGAACAAAGCTGGTCTCAAAAACCAATTTGATCACCTTATTAATATTTACATGAGGAAAGCCCTAAAATACATGAAGATATGAGAGCTGGTGTATGCACACCACATCCGGTTATCTTTAATGATTTCACCTGTAAGAGCTACAACCATCACATGTCCATTTCACAATCCAGAACCTAGTGACCATTGGTAACAGACTCTGGTCAGCTAAATTAAGCTAAGACACTTACCTAATAAGGACATGGACACACTGAGTAGTGTATCCATCTTTCCACACAAGTATGTGTTGAATCAGGATGTCAGTCTGTGGGCTAAAATAGGCATACAGTAAGCACACCATATGGTGACTTTCCTTGACAAGTCAATGGTGCCTTAGCTGTCTTGATTATCATGACAATCCATTTGCTCCATATGCAAAATACACACATGGCTTTGGCACTGACTAAAGCAATAATGACCATGATTATAAATTACAGCCCAGTTAAGTGACTTGTTTTAGCAGGATCACATTAATGCAGCAGTGCTATCCCTGGAATGGCCAGCCAAGTCAGAGCCAAGGGAGCTAGTGACCCCCCCCCCCTTCCCCAACTGAATCCTCTATTTTAGTTTGATACATGGTTCCTGACAAGAGGTTTTAAAAATCAGTGTAATGAGTTCTTGTTGATCCTCCTCCTCTTCAGAAAATTCTGCCCGTGCCACTGACACCCAGGTACTGAGACTTCCAGGCATTTGGTCGGCGTTCGTGCCATGACTCGAACTGCACAAGCTTGAGTTACCGGGTACGACCAGTATCTATGTGAAACAAGCTACATTCCCTTCGAGTATACAAATAGTTAATGTTGAATTAAAACAGAGCTGCCGTTTTCTTCACACTTTTACCCACACACAAATCAGAAACAACCAATATATGAAAATAAACTCACCGTCCTACAGATTTCGCGCGTCCACACGACCAGACCAAACCCAAAGGCTCCGCAGTCTTCGTATTTGGCGGGGACGCCGGTTTTTTAAACCCAGAGGCAATTATCATAACTTGTGCAAGTACCTTAACTTTTAAATTGAAATATCACAGAATGCAAGCTTAAAATGAGATTTTTCGTGGGAAAGTAAAATTTATTCTTAATTTCCGCTCTTAAGATATCCCAACTTCATTAAAAGAGGAAATTAAATTAAATGATATGAAAACGATCTGGTCGTACGGTTTGTCTCAGTAAGGTACTTTGTTCCTCGTAAATGGAAATGCCTTCTCTGCCAGCAATTGTTGCTGGCAATCCATATTCTCAAGCTGCTCAAAACCGTTTTAAAAAACGTTCACACTAATGGTGAAACATTTCTACCAGTGATTATCCTATCCTCACGAGCATTTTTCTCAGACAACTGTCCCAACTTCCAGTTGGGACGAAAGTTGCGGTTCAAATTGTAAAGATCTTAAAGTTTGGGAAGTGTGATGATCTTAGCTCATCGTAAACAAAACAAAGTTGAAGCTGCATGCTTACAAATAAGTAGTGAGCCCAAATGGTGAAAAGGCAAAAGCTGTAAAAGTTGAAAAGCCATTAGTACGTCACAAATGGACTCAGAGACAGCAGTAATATAGTATCGGCCTTGCTATAATGCCTTCACTGCGTTACAAGTGCCTAACGCCACTATAACTCACTCAATTCCCATACCATTTCCATATGACATGAAACGGAGATCCTGAGAGAGCCGGTGCAAATGTGATAGGAACCGTCCTTTGCAGGCGGCTGTTCTGCAAGCGCTAATTATTTACTGTGGTAGCCCCTGTGACCGAAGCTGAGGCGTTATCGATAAATCGGTTTTGCTGTTTTTCTGTGTGGAAATAGGCTTTGTTTTAACGTATCACAGGCCAAATTACACCCCGATCAACGCAAGCGCACCACCAAGAAGCTCAAATTTGTGTATTAGACATGTCGTCGAAGAAGAACCAAACAAATGCGCTGAAGGCTGAAGATGTTGTCCAGGCTGTGCTTTTGTCTGATAATTTTACAGAAAATATTGCACCTTATTCTCTTAACTCACCACTGGTATGTCATTGTTCTGGGCACCTCAGCCCTGGTTTCATCATAATCTCCTGATCCCATAATGCCATCGGAATGTTACTGTTCTGTTGTCATATATGCTGTGTTGACATGATTAAATAAAATAGAATAGAAAGCTGTAGAACAAATGCTCTGAATTAATGAATGTGAAACCAATCAGAGAGAGACCATCAAAGCTAACATTAAAAAAGTAGCATTTATATGTTAGACACTTGGCACAAAAGGGATGTGGCAGAGTTTATTAGATGCACATACTGTGTTAATACCTGGCATATGGAGGTAGTAATCTGGAGCCTGTGTCTAGGTACCGCTGCCCGGTTTGTGTTCTTCTGGATTGCGGTTCATGGTGGAGCTTTTTCCCTTGCACCCAGTTTGATTCCTCTGAATGTAACTAGTGTTTACAAGAATAGATGTTCCTACATAAGAACTGGTGAACAATCAACAATGTTAGGTTGAAGGCTTTCAATAGACCAAGAGTTACAAGTCATATAATGCTGTAATGTGAAATAATGATTATGGTTAAGAAATTATGATAGTGATGTGATCACAAATTAACATTCTGATAATGATTAAGCTTTATCATGCACAAGCATTGTGATTGCCATGATTATTATTAATCACTGTTATTATGTAGCATTAATATCAATGCTGATCATAATTCTTATTTAGCATAATTAACATTAGCCAGCAACACAAAGGGGTGCCAGTCGTGCAGTGGTCAAGGTGTTTGCATTAATCACAGTTCATCTGGGAAGTCAGCCATACAGGGTTTAATCCCCGACAGTGCCTGTCTTTTCTGCCAGGATGAAGGGGCAGGTAATGTCACGTAGCCTCTGCAGCTGAGTGTGTCATAAAGCCCCAGTGATGAAAGTGAGCATTACAGTGTCAGTTGACTACTACTGTTTGGTAAAATTAAGGCTGTCACCTTAACATTAGAACTTTTGACTCATAATATAAAAAACCCAGAAGAAGGCTTCTCTTTCATATACAGAGTACCATTTTTACCTCATTGTGATTGACCCATGGTTTCAAGGATTACCCTGAAAACAATAGTGAACTTGGTTGTATGCAGGCGTTACCAACCATGTCCCAAGATGTTTATATCTGCACATTTGTATTCAAAGTGAGCCAGTTAAATATTTAAGTTATGGCACCAGTAGTCCTCATTGCATCCTCCTGATGGACCACAGCCCTTCCTTGAAAGGTTATTTTGTTACAGGGGTTGGTCCCATTGGTGAATGTGCCACTACTGGACTATGCCTTGGAGTATCTGGAAGCAGTTGGGATACATGAGTGCTTCATATATTTATGCAAGTCTCCTGATGAAGTTAAGAAATATATCAGGTAAGTCAGATGCATATAAGTTATAACATATGCATTTCTCCATCTGTTGCAGGTGTTCTCATATTTGCACTCCATGGTAGTTCTATTTGCACATCATGAGTGTTTCTGCCTGTGTGGCATCCCAAACAATGCACATTTTTTGCTAACATTTCTTGAGGGCAGGCACAAGGGGGGCACATGGTTGACAAAGAGCCCTCATAGCATAAGGGCCCCATGAAACTCTCAAGGTATGGCCCAGTTATTAATGAGAGCATGCTATATACCTATATATGTGTATGTATGTGGGTAATATATACATATACATACATACATACATACATTTCCCATCCTGATAGGAATAGAAGTCAGACATTATCATAAGATCAATTCTGTCTGAAGGCTAGAATAGTCAGTAAACTGAAAAAGGGTCATGTGTTAAACAACATCTGCATGAAATAGATTACTGATTCTCTTCATTTTACATTGGTCCAGTGATCTCTTCAAAGCAGTAGAACTCAGAAACTTTGTCAAAATGCTTATCTGGGTTATACAGAGATGGGCAAGGACCCTGCAAAAGTGGATGGGAGATCAAAATGTGTCAACAATCTGTATAAACATGGCCAAGCCATGTTTGTCTGGAAAGGTCCAACATTTAGTCAGAATTAGTCAATTATGCAATTTTTGACATTGTTTTGGGCATGCATACTCGCATATCTTCGCAACAATAAACTCACCGCCAGGCGTTGAAGTCTTCATAGGCCGCGCAACGTTGGTCCCGTGGCTAACACAAGGCCGTGGCCAACAGGCTGATGAAAATAATGACACATTTTGAATAAATGCCTATAAATGCTTTGTGGCATAAAATCGTGCATTTAGAAATATTCCGGGTTTATATTATACCTGTGTAATTTCTAGATTGATGATAACTACTGTGTCTTTACAACAATGCAGAGAAGTGCTTGAATCTGGTGGTGGAAATGGTGGCCCTGACTGGTACAGTATGCCTCCACTGCTCCATCATGAGCACTCGCCATAGGTTGTCACATCTCCTTTCAGTGTCAGAAGGCCCCGACCAGTGCAAGAGGCCCTCTGTCATTTGAGCTCACGTCCCCGTCCCTGTTGAGCAGACCTTCCCCCGACCGATTGGAGGCCCTGTGCTGACATAGAATTCCCTGTTAGGCGCTGTTGGTCCCTGGCAGATAGAAGGCCCCAGACCATTGTAAATTACTGGTCCTGGCTTTATCGCTGTTTGGGAAATGGGCCTTCAGGCCCATACCGACATGGAGGCGACTGCGCGGTGCTGGTGGCGCCTGACCGATACATAGACCAAATCGACGCAGGGTTTGCCAATCGGCGCGAAGGGCCCGCTGACTGTTGTTTGAGAGGCCATCCCAGCAAGCCAGGCTCCTTAATAAGACGCTGACCAGCTCCTTGTGCCTTCAGACCCACCAATCGGGCCCTTGATCGTCGGACCCGGTGGGCCTTCTTGGCTCTGCGGACGTCCTCGAACACTACCTCTGACCGAATCAGGGCCCTTTGGCAATACAGGGCCCCTGTAAGTGACTGTGGGGCCCCTGACAGACGTTGGAGCCCGACCAATGTAAATCTCTGGCTCTGGCCTCGTGCTTGCCTGGGACATGGACCCTGAGGCTCATGTTACCACGAAGGCGACTTTGCGTTACTGGTTGTGTCTGACCGACAGGCCCTTATGGACTCGGTGGATCCGCGATTAGCGCACAGGGCCCTCTGGCTGGCATTGGAGCGCTCAGCCTTGCGGGCTGGAGTCCCTGAATGCGACCTCCGGCATGCTTTTTGGGCCCTTCAGACTTTTAAATCAGGTCCCTTGTCGTTGGTTCCGAGGGGCCCTTCGGACCCCTTAGAACCTAAGGGGAGGGTACGTGCCCCCTGTGCCCCCTGCCTGCGCTTCTGCTCGAGGGCGTTCAATCGGTGTGCGTGAGCTGTATTTCTGACCGATTTTTTTATTTCGGGCAGTGCAAGCCGCTGGCTGGATGGTAGCAATCCGATGGTGATACACATCCAGACGGCGGAAGACTGCCTCTCTCTTGGTGATGTCATGAGAGACCTGGATGCCAAGGCGCTCATCCAGTCTGACTTTCTTCTCATGTCAGTTGACTGCATCACAAATGTTGACATCGTGCCCATCATTAGGGAGCACAGGTAAGCTGGGGGCTTACTGGCCACCCTGTGGCTCGACACGTGATGGGAAAACAGATACTGGCCATCCTGTGGCTCGACACGTGATGGGAAAACAGACACTGGCTACCCTGTGGCTCGACACGTGATGGGAAAACAGATACTGGCCACACTGTGGCTCGACACATGATGGGAAAACAGATACTGGCCACCCTGTGGCTCGACACGTGATGGGAAAACAGATACTGGCCACACTGTGGCTCGACACGTGATGGGAAAACAGATACTGGCCACACTGTGGCTCGACACGTGGTGGGAAAACAGATACTGACCACACTGTGGCTTGGCACGTGATGGGAAAACAGATGCGTCAGAAATGAATGTGTATGATTTCTGCAGTATTGTGTTTCAGAATACATGTGTGTCATTTACAAACAAGAAAAACATGTTAGCCTTGGCCGTGATCACCGTCCGTGATTAAATCGATCTGTGGTACTAGTTAGTGGCGATTTTTGAGCACCTGTGTGGAAAGTGGATCACATTCGGTGCTGCTCTTGATTTTGCAAAGATTTTCATTGATGTGTGAGTGGTCTGCTGTACGCGTGTTGGTACGTCCAGAGTGTCGTGAGGTCATGACACAGCATTACCATTGTTACATTACCATTGTCAGTACATAATGGGCACATTACTCCTAGGCGGCAATGCTCTCATTTTTGCTTGCTCCTGTCGGACTTAAATACGGATTGCCTGCACTATGCTGTGTAACTGTATGGTCCTAGATCACTCCAGTATAGCGAGCGGTCCGTGTGTGGCTAGCTTTCTCCGCGGCTCCGCCTGCCGGCGGTGCGCGTGACCGTGACATGTGTCGGCAGCGCGCGCCGGAAGGCGGACGACCGGGGCTCGGTAATGACGCTGCTGTACCGAGAGGCGTCGCCGCGCCACCCGGCCCGCCACTGGGACGCCCAAGTGCTGCTGGCGGCCGACCAAGAGACGGGCCGCGTGGTGCACCACCAGCGGCTGGCGGCCGGCCAGCGGGGCAAGGTCACACTCCCCCTGGTCAGTCCGCGTGGCAAGGTCACACTCCCCCTGGTCAGTCGGCGTGGCAGGGTCACGCTCCCCCTGGTCAGTCCGTGTGGCAGGGTCACACTCCCCCTGGTCAGTCCGCGTGGCAGGGTCACACCCCCCCCCCCCCCCCTGGTCAGTCCGTGTGGCAGGGTCACACTCTCCCTGGTCTGTCCGCGTGGCAGGGTCACCCCTCCCCCCCTCCCTCCCCTGGTCAGTCCACGTGGCGAGGTCATGCTTGGCCAGTCCCGGGCGTTGGACATGCGGGTGGGCCTCCCTGTCCTGTGTCAAATCGAAGCACATCTCGGCCATTCTGTCGGTGGCCGTGTGGCGCGTCATGGCATACTGCCGCTCTCTCGGCCGGTCGGCTGGCTCTCTTCGCCTGGTGCCGTCTGTCTCCACGGTGGAGCCGACCACTGCCGGCTGCAACCAGACGGGCCAGATCGGAGGAATCGCACCTTATCCCTGTCCCCCCCCCCCCCCCCCGGTCTGCGCAGAGCGACATTGTCGTGGTGTTCGCCGGGGTCATCCACGCGTGGCTTTGCTTATAAAGATGGTCTGTAAGATCTTTGACTTTCGCGTTGCCAGCGCGTGGCAGGCTGTACTTAAAAATTGGCATATATATATTTTTTTCCTTGCTCGTCATGATAACTGATTTGCAGCAGACTGTTTCCACTGTTTCGGTCAACATGACAAATCTAAAAAGATTCACCCACCCAATCATCAAACTCAGTCACCACCGCGAGCTGCAGGGTGATCTTCTCCCCGTGAACCTGCCTGTCGTTGTTTGGGTGTCACTGTGCGATGTGTCTTGACGTGACGGTGCCGGGGTGTGTGGTGCAGCACATTTTCCAGGCGGCCAGCGCCGTGGAGGTGCGGTACGACCTGCTGGACCCGGGCATCAGCATCTGCTCGCCAAACGTGCCCCAGCTCTTCTCGGACAACTTTGACTTCCAGACGCGCGACCACTTCGTGAAGGGCATCATCGTTAACGAGGAGATTCTGGGAAGCACCATCTACTACAAGTGCCTGAGCGCGGACTACGCTGCCCAGATCAGCGGTCTGAACGCGCTGGTGACGGTGACGTGAGTGCTGCGGTATCAGCCGCTGCGGGCCTGACTGTCCCGACCAATCTGATGAAGCAAGCGAGACATATCACATGCAGAGCGGGCATCTCCAACTCTCCACTTTGCGGCGCACACTCGTATAGGATTTTTTTTTCTCCCGAAAATTCTTGCTTTTTCTCAAAGTTCACTTTCTGAAATATTCTAGTGCTTTTCTCAAAGTATGCTGTCGTTTTGCACTTTTCAAATGGCTCCGAACTTAACGTGCTTTGAGATGGTACTTAAACCAAGCGTGATATAAGGAGTGTAAAGATTCACGTGCCTTCGTCTACGCGCCGCGGAAGACTTGCTCTTTGGAAGTGCCTGGAGCGTTGTGACATCTCCTGGTTCATATCGTAACTTGTTGGCCAAATTTTGATCTTTTTTAACAGTGGTTCCTCGCGTTGCAACCAAGTTTCGACCTTGGACCCATTTGACTACGGCGGCGAGTGCCGGGGTGAGGGGGGGGGGGGGGGATGTGTTGGCGTTTTATGGCGGGGAGTTACTTCAGACGAAAAGATCGTAAAGTAGCAAACATTTCCGAAGATCCCAAAGTGGCAACATTTCAGCTTGCATTCTTAATCTTTCTCGGAATGTAAAAATGGGGTATTCTGAAATGTGTAGACTCCTTAAAAAAACCCTGTGACTGCGTAGGTCATAAGGTACGATAGGTATGTCTCGCTGTAAGCAAGGTTTGGCCCATCACTTTGTACATTCCCACATGCATTGCTTTCCGTGGCGCACTATGTTCCGTTCGTCGTTAGCAGAATGTTTGATCGTTTGTTGCCGTTGCCGCAGGCGGGACGTGATGGACCGCTGGGCGTACCCGGTGGTTCCTGAGAACCGCGGCCACACCAGCCACATCCGCTGCATCCAGCGGAATGTCTACAGGCACAGGACGGCCACCGTTGGCAGGTGGGGCCCCGGCCTGAACGACTGCTCGGTAGTCTACCGCCCGTTGCGTCGTCTTTTCAACAACACTGCAAGAGATCGGTGGAGGGATTCCTCTATTTGCCGCAGTAGCAGCCGCTGACGCCGGCCGCCTCCACCCGCCAGGGACAGTCGGCTGGAGGAGAGCGTGGCGCTGGCCGACGGCGTCATTGTGGGACTCCGCTGCCGCCTGCTGCGAGCCGTCGTCGGGCCCGGTTGCCGGCTCGGCGACGACGTGGTGCTCGAGGACGCCGTGCTGGACGCCGGCTGCCGGCTGGGAGACCGGACGCGCGCCTGCCGCGCGCTGCTCGGCGCCGGCGTGCAGCTGCGCCCGGACGTGGTCCTCGAGCCTGGCTGCGTGCTGGGTCCGGGCGTGGTGGTGGACGAGATGCGCACGCTGCCGGCCGGTACCCGGCTGGCGGCCCAGCCGCGCCCGGACGAGTTCGGCGACCTCCAGCAGCCCGAAGGTGGGCACATGTGACGGGGGGCGGGGGAACGCTTGCGTGGGTGTTCCAGAGGTCTACGCAGCGCTGTGGTGAAGATACGATTGTCAGAGTCTGCTTGTGCCTCGCGCTGGGTGCCGTGCCAACAGTCCCGTCTATCCCAGTACTGCGCCAGTAGTCCCGTCTGACCCGGTGCCGTACCGGCAGTGTCGTCTGTGCCGGTGTGCCGTACCAGCAATGTCTGGCCCGGTGTGTCATACCAACAGTGTCTGACCCGGTGTGCCGCACCAGCGGTGTCTGACCAGGTGCCGTACTGGCAGTGTCTGACCCGGTGTGCCGTACTGGCAGCGTCTGACCCGGTGCCGTACCAGCAGTGTCTGACCGGGTGCCGTACTGGCAGCGTCTGACCCGGTACCCTACCAGCAGTGTATGACCCGGTGCCGTACCAGCAGTGTCCGACCCAGTGCCGTACTAGCAGTGTCTGACCCGGTGCCGTACCAGCAGTGTCCGACCTGGTGTGCCGCACCAGCAGTTTCTGACCGGGTGCCGTACCAGCAGTGTCTGACCCGGTGCCGTACCAGCAGTGTCTGACCCGGTGCCGTACTAGCAGTGTCTGACCCGGTGCCCTACCAGCAGTGTCTAACCCGGTGCCATACCAGCAGTGTCCGATCCGGTGTGCCGCACCAGCAGTGTCTGACCGGGTGCCGTACCAGCAGTGTCTGACCCGGTGCCGCACCAGCAGTGTCTGACCGGGTGCCGTACTAGCAGTGTCTGACCCGGTGCCGTACTAGCAGTGTCTGACCCGGTGCCGTACCGGCAGTGCCGTCTGACCCGGTGCCGTACCAGTAGTGCCGTCTGACCCGGTGCCGTACCAGCATTGCCGTCCGAGCCGGTGCCGTACCAGCAGTGTCGTCCGAGCTGGTGCCGTACCAGCAGTGCCGTCTGACCCGGTGCCGTACCGGCAGTGCCGCGTGAGCTGGTGGGCGACAGTGGCCGCGGGTTCGTGTACGCGGCGGTGCCGTACCAGCAGTGCCGTCTGACCCGGTGCCGTACCGGCAGTGCCGCGTGAGCTGGTGGGCGACAGTGGCCGCGGGTTCGTGTACGCGGCGGACGACGAGGATGATCCGCTGGCGGCGGCGCCTCTAGGCCCGGCCGTGCCGCCGCCGGCCAGCGTCAGCAGCGACAGCGGCGAGAGCAGCGACGACGAGGACGACGAGGGGGAGGAGGGGGAGGAGTGGGCGTCCGGCGCCGCCAGCCCGCCTCTGGACGACACCAGAAGTGAGCGACACCGCTGCGGCGGCCGGCCGCCGGCCCGCTCTATGGCATGGCTCTGGAAGGCTGCTCGTCTTCTGCGTGCCAAACGTATTCCCTGCCCCAGTAGTTTTAACGTTAAGGGTTTTGAGATTCGCTATTTGCTGTTGCCTGAGGACGCGGAACTTTTCCGGATCTTTTGTGATGGTGTTGCAATGCGTGTCTTTCCACTAAAGCACGTAAACAAACATGTGAACCAATGAATGGCGAAATCGTTTCGAATGGGCCGTTTCTTTGTTGCGTACAAACACATTGCCTCTGGTTCTTTTGGAATGACCCAGAGCGAGAGAATAGCGTTGAGAAGGAATGCAGAGGACGATTGAGTGAGGCCATTTACTCATTCCCACTCCCACTTAACTCGCATTCCTTTGTGCGTGCCTTAAGATAGCTTAAAGAAAATGTGCGATGTTTATCCACTCTCCTGCCCTCGTCTTCCAAATCTGTGAATGGCATGTCCGTTCGCCCATTCTTAGGGCTGAAGGTAATTCGGTGAGGATGTTAGTCACAATTTCCCATCTCCAAAAGGCCTTCTGCAAGCCTGTGAGTCTGCGGCCTTTCAGTGTTCTACAACGAGGTGTTGGACAGCCTGGTTCGCGGCTACAGTGAGAAGATCCGGACGGAAAACCTCATCCTGGAGGTGAACTCGTCCAAGTTCGCTTACAACGTGACCGTCCAGGAACTGAACTCGCTGGTGGTCAAGGTGAGGAGGTTTGTCGCAGTGCCTGTCTGCACCAGCTCGCCGGAGTCTGTCCTCCGACTGAGCGGCGACGGGAAGACCGCGCGGTGACGCCTGCGAGGCTCCGGCACAGCATGGCGACGGTACACTGATGTGGCCGCTGCTCTGGCGTTCAGCGGCGACGCTTGGGGGGCTCGTTGGTGCGCCGATGTATTACATGTGTTGTGCCTTTCCAATGATTGTCATTTGCTTTTCTTGCGTATTTTGTTTCTATTTGCACGTTGGCTGGGCAATTGATATTTGGGATAGGTTCTAGGGCACAGTTTTCTCTATGCTCCTGCATGCTTGTCGAGAGAGCGCTGTCGCCTTTGATATCCTGTACTAGACATCGGTTGTGAATGATCTTAAAGACACTGTTTTCTAAAGAGGCGCGTATTTTGTGACGCTACAAGACGCGTGGGGGCCGGGAAGCTGAGAAGCAGTTTGTGGTCGATGACAGCAGCACCTGTGACGCTTGTCCAAACGTCCGTATGAGACCAACTTGTATGGTGAGGCGATCTCTGCGTTTGTTACATCGTGGTATGACCTGGCCAGACACGCAGAAGAGCGGCGTGCTTACGGCATGTCGATTTCGGCGATAGATGGATGTGCGCCGCGTGTGACGAGCTCGCTGCTTGTGGCCAGAGCAGACCTGCAGCAGCGCGTCCAGGCGTGACGCCGGGGCCGCCAGCGCGGCAAACTGGCCCCGCGCGCGCCTGCGGTGATGCGGGACGGCCCTCTCACGCCGCCGTCACTGCTCCAGGCCATCCTGTCCGTGCCCGAGCACGGCTGCGACCAACCGCTGCCGCCGCCGGCCTTCCTGGCCAAGCTGCAGTCGGTGCTGGCCACCTTCATGCCGTTGTTGGCCAACTACATCAAGAACGAGGAGTCTGAGTGGAGCTGCCTGCGGGCGCTCGAGGTCAGTCTTGTGGTCATGTGTAACCGCCACTGGTGGCAGACGGAGCCTGGGACGAGCCTTCGAGGTCAGTCTTGCCTGGCCTTCGACCTTCGGTACTGCACGCGTCAGGACTTCAGCCGCGGGCGGATGTGCTCGGCTGGAGACCGCGCTCTGTTGATGACCTCTAGATTCACTTGCTACACGCTTCTGTGAATTTAGCTGGCATGGAGGCACACAGCTATCTTGAACCTTCTGACAGGCTTCCCTTGTTCTGAAGCTGACTGTGTAGGCTGTAACTGTGGTACCGTGGCTGGCAGACGTTTAGCTGCGAGCACGCGGCGATGGCGGCCTGCTTGGCGAAGGTGCTGATGGTGCTGTACCAGAAGGACATCCTGTCCGAGACCACCATTCTGGCCTGGTACAACGAGTCGCAGGAGCTGACGCCGGAGGCGGTCCGCGTCCGGCAGCAGGTGAGAGCCGTCCGCCCGCGCTGGGTCTGGGTCAGAGGAGCGCGCCGGAGCGGCGGCGAAGTGTGCGGCGTGTGTTCAAAGGTCAACGCCGTTACAAGGTCGTGCAGAGAAGGGCGGCGCCCACCACGTGGCTTATGGGTCATTCCCGTCCGCTTCACTCTCGTGCTGGGTTTCACGGCCCGATGTCTTTGTGGCGAAACAGTGCGGCCAGCGACCTCTGACGGTGCGCTGTGACCCCAGGTGCGGCGTCTGGTGGAGTGGCTGGAGCAAGCCGACGAGGAATCAGAGGACGACTCGGGCAGCGACGACGACTGAGCCTGAACATCGCTTCTGCCAGTGTTAATCGGTGGTGTTGTTTTTACGAGGTGGATGGACGTACCAATAATACAGTGCCGTGGTGAAGCTAGTCTATTTCTTGGCCTTTCGGGCAGTCCCATAATTCACCCGGTCAGGTTACAGTCTCGACGCTCTCTGACTCATATACAAACCATTCGTCCGGAACTTAAGTATGTATTCTTCCACCGCCTTACCTCGTCAGTCTGCAGTGGGCCGCCGTCATGGTCCCTGCAGAGTAAGTGGCGGGCGGATCCGGGGCAGCGCCGCCCCGGGAGCGGTACGGGCCGGGTCCTGCGCCGCCCCGGGAGCGGTACGGGCCGGTCCTGCGCCGCTCGCCGCTGCGGCCGGTGGGCTCACGCGACCGAGGGCCATGCCCGCGCCACCTCCGGAGCCGGCCGAGCTGGGCGCCGCCCGCCGCCGCGGCCGGTCGGCTCACGCGACCGAGGGCCATGCCCTCGCCACCTCCGGAGCCGGCCGAGCTGAGCGCCGCCCACCGCCGCGGTCGGTCGGCTCACACGACCGAGGGTCTTGCCCTCGCCACCTCCGGAGCCGGCCGAGCTGGGCGCCGCTCTAGGAGGTCCAGCGACCGAGCACGGCCCGCAGCAGTGGCACCACCCGGATCGACGACAGGTCAGCCAGCACCGCCTGGCGACGCGCGCATCCCGCTGTGACGTGTAAAATCGAATCGCTTCTGGATTGCGTCCTGGTCACAGAATACCTTACAAGCTTATTGTGCTGCCAGCTGAGGGGGTTCATTGCTGCGCATTGTTTGCGTAAAAAACCATACCACGCACTGAGCGCCGCTTGCTGATACCATCCAGAGTCGACCGTGACGGGTCCGTGGACCGGCCTGTACAGCCCCTTCTAGAGATGTGGGTCGGCCAGTACAGCCTCAACTGGAGCTGCCTTATGCGTTTTCGGATTTCCGCCGGTAATGGGCTCAAAAGTGATGCGTAGGCACACACTGTCATCACAAGGTGAGAAAGAGGCTTCATCCCCCCCCCCCCCGCTTCTGCAGATTTTAGCATTGCTCGTGTGACGTTGAGTTGATTAAAATAATAGAGCGCCTTAAAAACACTCTTGACAGCTCCCCAACGTCTGGCCGGTGGGGGCGCCGGGGGGTGTTGCCGGCAGTGCGGCGGCATCTCCGCCGCGGCGCCGGCATGACCATGGTCTGCCCGGCGACCGGCCCGCCGCTCGCGCACCTCCATCGTCGGCTGGTTGCTGGCGGCCAGCAGATTAGCGCGCCGGTACGCCAACACGGCGGCGGCCAGCAGGGCCAGCAGCTGCAGAGAGTCGTAGGCCAGCAGCATGTCCCACAGCTGGAGCAGCTGGTCCACGCTCAGGTAGCCGGAGAAGGCGCGCACCAGCCAGCGGAACACCAGGCGCAGTCTGCCGGCAAACGCGGACGGAGTTACAGGTCACGACAGAGCGGATGCCGAGGTCAGGGGAACTTCGACAGCTGGCCAGCTTCATGACTGGCGGTAGTGGGAAGGGAGGGGAGAGTAAACGGCCGTATGCGTGGGGAGAGGGGGTGGAGGTCAGCGGTGGTGTAGCATAGCGAACCTCGAGATTTGTGAGTCAAAACTTCGGAACCTACGAAGACACTGTCGGGTGGGGCGGGGGGGGGGGGGGGTGGAGACGTAGGGCGTCAGTGGAGCACAGCAGTGTATGTCGGACCAATGAGATGCAAGGCACTGTCTTCTAGTGCTGCGTTGCCTAGACCGGCTGAAGCCGAACCGTAACAGGAGGGCACAACTGGTCCGTCATTGGAGGTCAGGGCAGTCCCGACCATCGTGTCAGGGTTCCCTGACCTAGCAGACCAGTTCGCCGGGCCGCGCCCACTCACGGCTGAACCCGACACTGTCGGCAGTGCAGCCACAGCCTGGGCTCGTGCTCCCGCAGCAGGCGCTCCAGGAGCAGGCTGATCGACACAATGCCGTTGGGCCGGCTGGACAGCGAGTGCAGGAACACGAAGTAGCGCACGTAGAGCCGCTCGAAGGTGAACAGCAGCTCCACGGCGTCGCTGAACACGAAACAGAGCGGTGCCACTGGAACGGAGAAGCGTCGGGTCCGGTCAGGCCGAGGCGTCCGCGGCGCGGCGGACCGGTGATCTGACGGCGAAGTGCGCGGCCCATGGTGTAGGACTCCAGACGCGGCCTCTGTCGGGAGGGAAAGTTTCAGTAGCTTAAGCGGTATGTCAAAAGGTCGCACGCTCGGTATGGAGCCTTGGACGTGTAAACAGCAGCGGGATCTTCCGAAAGGTCTGTTGCGTGCTCTGCGAAAGGTCTCCTGCAGGCAAATCATAACATCCGCTGCCAGGCTGCTGGGACTGGATCTAGGCCAGATCTCCACGGTGACCGTTTGGGGTCTGGGGGATACCGGCGGCAGTGCATACCACCGGCCCTTTGCATTGTTCCAAGAGCAGAAATGGGGTTTGTCGGTGATTGAAGGGTAGCGTTAAAGAGCTGGTGTTTCAGTTCCGGACACTCAGCGCCCCCTATACCCGCCCTCCAGCCCCACCCCACATCACTCACAGTACATAGAGAAGCCGTGGAAAGGCACGACGCCGCAGGGCGGGTAGGCGACGTGGTCGTCTGGCGACGCGCCGGCGGCGGCGGCGCGCGCCGGCTGCGCGGGCAGCGCCGCCAGCGCCGCCAGAGGCTCCGTGTGCCGCAGGAAGCGCAGCAGTGTGGCGCGCAGCTGCTCGGCGAACACGAAGTACTGGTCGTCGTTCCCGGCGGTGAGCTGGACGTCGCGCGCCACCAGACGGTCGGCCAGCAGGTCGTGCTGTAGCACGGCCCGCTGCAGGTCACGGTAGCGCGCCCAGTGCTGCGGACGGCGAGGCCGTCAGAGCTCGCCTCCACCACACACCGCAGTTGGCTGCAGGCCGTGAAGTGTTGTGAGATCGTGAACCGTCCAGTTTTTTGACGTGCCTCCCCGGCAGCGCTACCATCATGCTCTAGGTGCTCCCATACTTTCCCGACACTGCCTGTCCCTGTCCGGTGGTGTCGGCACAGCTGTCCGGCGGCAGCGCGTCGCCTCTTTTGGGTGGTTTCCGCATCGGCGCCCAGTGCTATTTTCATCCCCGTCTGGCTAGCTGGGTCACCTTTTCCTCAATGCGGACGCCGAGAATCTGGCCCCAGATGCGGCCGCGCAGACTCTGCGGCACGCCCAGCTTGGCGAAGTCTCGGCTGACCGGAGCGTACTCCATGTCCAGCACTGGAACAGACCGGCGCCGGTCACCGAGCACGTGCGCGGGCTCGGACACGGGAACTGGTGATGCTGTGCAGTCCAGCCGCCGTCACCAAGTATGGACTCAGCTCTTGGGATCACCGAGGTTCCGGGCCATAGACACGACCCAAATCAGAAAGCAATCACGCACACCTTGGTCCACGCGCGTCGCAAAAACAACATCCAGTCGAAAGACTGCTATGACATCTGATGCGGATGTCACTGGTCATGGCCGTGATTTCCGGCGCACCTTTCTTGCCGACGGCCTCTCGAAACTGTCTGACGGTGACCTGGGGTCGGGTCGCGGCCGGCAACTCGGCAGACATGCTTAGATGCTGGAAGCGTGGGTTCCCCAGCTCCTCGAACTGCTGGCGCTGAAGCGGAGAAGAGGCGGCGTGGCATCAGGTCCCGTCAGTCAGCCGAAGCCAGCCAGTCCTGGGCTGTCAGCCATCCCGGCCGCGGACCGGGGCGTCATCAGTCGGCCAGCAGCGACGGCTGCGGGCGCTGGAAGGCTGGGCCGCACTTACAGCGACAGCCGTAACAGAGTCTGATGGCAATTGAACGCTGCCGGAGTGCTCCGCACGAACGTCTTGGGCTGAACACAAAACGGCGGCGAGACAGGAAAAGAAAATATGGATCGTGGTCGCAGAAAACAATCATATGTTGAAGCATTCAGGTCTCAACTTGGCAGCAGACTGGACAGAGACTCGCTAGATGGTTTTCAGCAGTGGAATCTTCAGCAACGCTCTCTACGCATTCGTCTCCAACGGCTGATGAAATAGGGTCCACATAACAAACAACGGTACTGAGGCATCAGTGACTAAGGTGACAGTGTCATACGAAAATAATAAACCCACAAGGCATGGCATGTGCGTGATGAGGTGCATTGCGTTGACGCTGCTAGGACCATACGTGGGTGGGCCGGACAGACACGTCAGCATCCAGTGACGAGGAGCCGTCTGTGGCGTCAAGACGGCGCTCAAGGCGGTGACCGAACCGCGGCAGGCCGCCGGCCCGGAGCCGACCAGCGCTACACAGCCGCAAAGTACGACAGAAAGCGGTGCTGCGGGTGTGAGGGCGGTGAGGGTCAACCTAAGGGTGGCCAGTCGGTCGACCCGAAGCAGCAGTCAGATAGAGACCGGGCAGAGCGTATTACGAGGTCGGCGAGATCCGGAATCGGCAGCGGCAGACGCACCATCCCGTACAGAAAGTCCCCGCTGAAACGAGCACGCCGACATGGTCACGGAAACCGGGCGCGCGCAGTGGCTATACACTGCAATATGCACGCAGAATGTTGGCTTTGAGATGGAGCCCTGTGGGAGGACCGTACATTGTGACAGTGCCTGGGTTATGGCGGCACGTTAGACCGTGGCGTTACGTTACGGCGCCGTGAGCCGAGCGAAAAGATGCGAAAGCGTCGTTTACGTCGCCCTGCGCTCGTTACGGATTGACAGTTGCATTGGTTACCTCAATGTTACGTCGTTCTAGAATGTAAAGTTGGGAAATAGGGTCGGTAGGTACATAGGGTCGGTAATAAAGCTGTGATGAGTCAATCGGCACTCTATTCGAGTGACCAAGTTGCGGTAATTTCAACGTCACTCAATTGGCCACCAAAGGAACGTGAAGTCAGTCGTTGGAATTGGATTAACCAGTGCAGATTACAAACGGCTCCTTCGTGATCATGACGGCAAAGGACAGCACTTGGATTCGATCATCACTTAGTAAGGAAACAGCCAGCCAATCGATATTTATCTCTGAACAACAGGCCGGTAAGTCAACTCAATCGTCGTTTGGTTTGTAAGTTCAGGTATGAACGGGGCGTCGAACAGGTTCAATCGTTACCCAGCTTGGACAGCAGGCCCCGACAAGGCCGATCGTTACTCGACCTGCATAATGCATTGGATGAAAAAGAATACCGTATAGAAATTGAGTTGATCAGTGCTGGTGAAAAACGATTGTCACTTCTTTGGGAGAAGAAAAAGAACAGCATTTAGGGAACAATTGTTGCTTAAATTGAATTGTACGACACGGCAAGTCAGTCGATAATTAACAGTCAAGTGATAGGGTGTGAGCTCAATCGGGTTTCAATGCGGCAGTGCGGGTTACAATGGGGCATCAAACAGATCCAATCGGTACCAAATTTAGACAAAAGTAACACGCAATTCATTACTCAACTTGGATGACAAGATCCGGACATGGGTACCACAGCGTCAAGTGAGTTGGATCGTTACACATACAACGTAATGCACATTTGCATGGCTAAGCAGAAGAACAGGGTAGTGTAACTACGGTTGGTAGATAATAGATGTGGTTTATTCTAGCTGCAGTGGAATCAGTGCAGGGTACGAATGCACCAATTGACAAACAATAACACGACCCGAAGCCTACGATCGCGCCGGCCAAGCCTTACCAGTATGGCATGTAGTTGGGGCTTTCCACACGGGTCAGCACCTCCAGGAAGTCCTTGGGCGCGTACACCGGACGGAATTTGTCCAAGTCCTCTGAAAAAGTGCTCACATATGTAAACAGTGCTCACAGTGAGCTGCCCTCCGAAACGGTGCTCACATGTTTTATCGCCACTGCTATTTCCTTATGATCCAGAAGCAATGCACATTATTTTGGAAACATCGCGATCGTATCATTGTGTCGGACTTCGCGCACGTCTGGATTCGGAGATGTCAGCGAGATTCGAGAGAGCAGCTCATTCCCCGGGCCGACTCTGGGAAAATTAGCGGGACATGGATGATATGACTGACCCGGGTCATCAGGCGTGGCCTCCTCCGGCCGGTCAGTCATCTTCTGCTGCTGTGCCGGCGGCCGCAGCCGGGCCAGGGGCACCGCCAGCTCGGAGCTCATGGCGTTCAGCGACTTGTACAGGCGTCGCTCCCAGGCCCGCTGCCGGCGCAGGCATGTCCCTTCAGCGCCCTGAGCCCGCCGTCGCTCAGCCAGCGGGTACGGCCGGACGCAAGCCCGGGTGTCAGGGGGCGGGGGGAGGGGGGGGGGCAAGTCGGCCGGCGCGGAGAGGGGAATGACCTAGCCCTCAGCGGTAAATGACACCTAGTGAGTCGTTTGCGATTCATGCACACGCACGCACGCACGCACGCACGGTCTGCCGAGCCACGTGTGCCTCCCGCAGCGCGAGGGTGGTCGTGACCCCGCTCCGGCCTGACCTGAGCGCGCCGGATGTAGTCGATTGGCTCTTGGATGGCGATCGGCGGGTAGTCGGCCGGGTACATGAGGTCCGGGTGACTGAGCACCGTCTGGTGCACCAAGTTCTGCAGCTGGCGCTCGCAGTGGGACGAGCGCACCAGCGCCAGCAGCCGTTCCCGGTAATCACCGGCGCCGGTTAGCTCTGGGTGTGACGCCACCACCTTCTGCCGAGGTGCGCGCCCGTGCCTGTCAGTGTCCTCCGACGACCGGGGGCCGCGGCGGCATCACACGCCAGTGTCCTCCGACGACCGTGGGCCGTGACGGTACCACACGCCAGTGTCCTCCGACGACCGGGGGCCGCGGCGGCACCAGACGCCGGCGTCCTCCGACGACCGGGGGCCGCGGCGGCATCACACGCCAGTGTCCTCCGACGACCGGGGGCCGCGGCGGCATCACACGCCAGCGTCCTCCGACGACCGGGGGCCGCGGCGGCACCACACGGCAGTGTCCTCCGACGACTGGGGGCCGCGGCGGCATCACACGCCAGCGTCCTCCGACGACCGGGGGCCGCGGCGGCATCACACCCCAGTGTCCTCCGATGACCGGGGGCCGTGGCGGCACCGCACGCCAGCGTCTGCGACTGAGCTCAATCGTCCCAAATGCGGCGAAATCGCTCAAGTCGGTGTGGACCCGAACCTCAAGGCATAACTTTTGAATAAGCTGGAGCACCCAGCACGAAACATCCTTTGCAAGAGACGGCAACGAAGCGAACAGGGGGGTTGAGCCCAGTGACCAAGACCGTCAGAGCGACGCGATTGGTGCGGTGCCGCGCCTGATCAGACGATCACTGTGACACGACGCTTGCGCCGATGGAAGATTAACATGGGAACGCTGACGCGTCTCGACCGCATGCCGTTCTACGGCTGGCACCGGTCAGTTCGCCGGTGACGTCAGGGTTTGCAGAGAATACCGGCCGGGGCAGTGGAAGCCGGGCGCGGAAGGCGGCTGTGAGTTGGCGGGTTCTATGTTTTCTTTGCTCCCGTAGTAAAGCAAGTACGGATGGAACAGTTGACTACGATTTCTTATCGACAATTTCTATTTGGGCGGGGCAACAAAGAAGAGGGAGCGGGCCAGAGGCAATAACCTCCTGAAACCTCGTACACAAGTTTTACATCTACCTCAAGGCGCATGAAATGAATTCAGCTATCCGTTTTTCCCCGCTCCCAACCTGACACAGCTCGCCAGTGAGCGGCTGCTATATCAACTGTCACACGAGACTTTCCGTACCTCCAAAGCTTGCATCACAGATGCATACCCATCTTCTTTCTGCAGGTGATCCATCAGAACAGCGACATCGCGATTCATGGCAGATATATTTCGTAAGACCCGGTTACAGCCTGTGGGCGAATAGAATAGGGCGAAAAGTCTACCAGACATGGGAAAAAAGTCGGCGGTCCAGTGTCTAAAGTGCAGCCGGCCACAAACTTCGCTATCAGGCGACTAACATAAGCATAGGCATTTTGCACTTGCCACGGGTCAGTTCAGTCTTGGCCTTGGCAGGTGTATGGCAAGACGGTTTCGTAATCGTTTTAAATTGAATGAAGCTGTCTAGTAGAGGTGTAGTTTTTCAAAATGGGGACTGAACAATGCAAATTTACCCAGACTGCCCCCAAAATACGCCAACAGGCTTCTCCCCAGATTTGGCGCATTTTCTTCCCAAAGTTAGGGGGGCCTGAGGCTAAGGAGGGAGGGGGAAGGGGGCTGAAGTCCCCGGTCCTCCCCCACTGCACAGGAAACTACACCCCAACACCCCTGCTGTCTCGACAGACGCCATTGAGATCGCCAACAGAATAAATCATTCGGAGGTCTTGCACCGACCGAGGCAAGGCCGGCAGAGGCGCGGTTGGGGATCGCAGTCATATCCTGTGTCAGTCCAAACAAGCTCGCAACGCAAGCCACGTCTGCCAAATGTCATGGGACGCCTGGCAAAATAGTTCTAGCAGAATGATATGTTGACGTGGGCAGTAGGGGTCTTCAATATGATCAAGACTATTTGCATGGCCCAGCACTTACCGGTTGCAGACCAACATCCAAGCTGTCGCGGGTTTGGCCCGTCAACACTAAACGATAATCTCTTTAAATACTGTGCGTATGGGTTCAGAGCAGCAAGTGAAGCGCTCTCGACTGGATCGCTATCGTTCGGTAACGTAAAAGTGGAACTACGGTTGTGTGATCGATGCACCGCAAATGGTGGACGGGTTCGTGCTTCATGTATGGCTTAAGGCTGCACGATGGTGAGTTTTGGAGCTAGTCGAGATATAAAGTATGAGCATGTTTTTCGAAAATTTGACCATGTTAGCTAAATAATGCATTTCGTCCATCTAGTTTACAGCCCTGTGCAATTCCCCCTCCAGACAGCTGTTCAGCAAAGTGAAAAGTTTGTACAACACCGTGGGTACAATGTAAAATTTCGTAAAAGTAACATGGAGCGTCTCCTCCACTTAGGTGGTAACGATACCAGCGTTCAAGAGTCTCACGGGAATCATCGCCGACAGGACGCTTACCGCATGGACTTCAGACACCGCGATCGATTTTTGGCGCGCCAAAGCTAAAAGCTAATATGGAATCTTTTAGTACTTCCAAAAATGGCGCGCCTATTACATAAAACGTGCAGGCGGTTTCATTGCCATGGTGGCTGGTCTCGGATGCCCAATAACCTCGCAGAGTGCGAGAAGGGTTCGAGGAGGGAAAGAGCGTAGCACTTTTCCGCGTCTCAAGGTTTTGATAGCCGGTTGGTTAGTATTTTGGCTCCCTTCAAAAATAGTACCTGCAATGGCAGATTGTGGGGAAATGTTTGTTTTATTTTTTGTGTTAGCAATGACATTTTTCATGGAGCTTATAACTTGTTTATGCTGGCACACATGCGCAACTGTTTCACTACCTTTCCCTTGGCTCATATGAGTATTCGAATAAGTTTGAATGCAAAGCTCCAAATAACATTAAAGCACTAAACAGGACTATTTTCATGCCATAATACTGTGGTCCAAGAGACAAAGGAAATGTTCAATGTGTTGTTCACTGAGCAATACATTGAACTGAGCAATACATTGAGAAATGGGGTAGTATCACAAAAGCCAGACATGCTTGGCTGTCAGATGTTATTTGCTCACACTACTGCATATGAAGTAATGAATGGGCAATGAACGGGTCTCAGGGTAGGCAAGGATGTGAATTGATTAAGATTGGGGAAACATATTCTTGCCATGGTCAGTGTTGGGGTCTGTTCTGTGCATTATTACTTTTTTGCAGCATGTTTTGTGGGAATTGATCCCATTGGTGCAATCTAGGCAGCTATTTGTGTCAATGTGGTATGTGTTGGCAGCAGCTAGATTCATCATTATATGTGAAATAATACTCAACCCCAAAAGCTGACACCAACTAAATTAGCTTATTTTCTCTTAGTGCCTCATCACAGACATTCAAAAGTGGTATTGACAGTAGTCCTTAATGCTATGTGCTAGCATGGCTACTGTATGATAAGGTATGTAGGAAATGGAAATGATTTGTATTAGTTTTAGGATGAGATAGCCAGAAATTGCTTATTCACATTTTTAATTTTTTAATCCATTATTACCATTAGTAGGTCATGACAGGGTGTGCTTGCTAGCCTGTGTGTAGTAACAGGTCGTACAATTTGCGTCATTGGACTTGGGACACAATAGGCTATAAAATATTAGGCCCCAAGATCATCTTATGGAGGCTGAATGATAATTCTGCCATATTCACTGCCACTGCTTTAGCACATGCAGTTTCAAAGTATGTTTGCCAGTATGTATTTTAGCTAGATGCCATCACAACCATCATTTCGTAGGGTGCACAAGAAAATAAAATATGATCCAGCCCATAGACCCAAGTCCACCAAAAATATATGCACTGCGCTGGATGCATATACAGGCAGATCCAGCAGGGGACCATATTTCCAATTTTCACCAATACATCTCACCATAATCAGGCCTTACTGTAAGAGACTGAAGCTCTATTACCCTTTGCATTGCTGGATGGTGGGATTTGTAGGCCTAGTGTTCATTACTTAAAAGAACACTACTGCATATTAGTATGGTTTGTATGTTATGACAGTTAAACATCCAAAAATCTTTCAGCATTCTTTTGTAAGTTAGGCACACAAACCTAGTTATTGCATAATGTTTGTTTCTACAAGGTGAACAGCTTATCACTATCTCATGGACCATACTTGTATCAAGAAATGAAATGAATATGAAAAGGACTGAAGCCATATTTCATCCACTTTCAACACTACAAATGACACCATATGCTTATGTCAGAACTGCCCACTGTTTCAGGCCACTGTGGGAAAGTCTAAAAATGCCCCCAAAACGGAAGAATCGGAAGAAAGAGAAACCACCATTATCCGTGCAAGGTCTTCTGCATCTAGAGGCCTCGTTCGTTTCGCCCAAGGACGTGGACGTGGTGCTGGCCACCGTGACACCCGGCTCTTCATACGGCTACGGAGACGGCGCTGGACACGTGCCGGAGCCGGCTGAGCAGACGGCGGCGCCGACCGGGCCTGGCGGGGACGGGAAAGGGAACGGGAACGGGACTGGGACTGGGACCGGGACTGGGACTGGGACTGGGACCGGGTCGGCCGGGCCCGCCGCCGAGCTGCCAGCCGAGTATGGCGGCCCGCTGCGACCGGCGGACGTGTCCGAGCTGCCGCGAGACTACCCAACTGTAGACACGCCGCTGCCAGAACCGGTGGCGCTGCTTCCGCCGGACCTTGACGACCCGGACCAGTACGAGCCGCCCGAGTTTGCCGCCGGCGGGGACGCGACAGCGACGGATACGAGCGCGACGGACGCGACAGAGGGCGCGACGGAGGCGACAGAGGGCGCGACGGGACTGGATCCAGGTGCCGATTCCCGGCCGGTGGGAGGCACCGCTGCATGAAGCATGCCGAGCCACACGTCTGCAGCGGAGGGCGGTGGGCCGACCGCAGCGGGTGCCAGTCCCGTGACGGAACGGCGCGCGATCAGGGAGTCGCTGGCGAACTCTGCGGATGATGCGGCTCAGCCACGGGCGGCCGGAGGGGAGGAGGCGGCCACGTGTGTGCAGGATGAGCCAGCCGCATCTTCCGCGGCGCCCAGTCATGCCACGGACTCGGCGGATGCTCAGCCCCCGCCCGGTGGCGAGTTCACAGACCGCGGGGCGCCTACCAAGGCGACTGTGTCTCACGTGGTGGGCGAGAGAGCTATGGAGACACAGGATAGCTTTGCCCCTCCGTTTCCGGTGTTAAGTCAGCGGTTGGATGCTGTCCAGGCCCCGCTAGTTCCCTGCCCAGTACGGACTCGCCACCCTGTGGCGAACCACGGTGATGGGGATGAAGCCTGTGACTTTCCAGTGACCACTGAAATGGCGCCGGCCGCTGAACCCCCCGCTGAAGCCCGGGCTCAGGGGCGGTGCGGTGTCGCTGACGCGGCCTCGACTTCGGCGCCCTCTGCCGCCCCTGCCGTCCCAGGGCCTGCACCGTCACCGGCACCTGCCGCGTGTGCCGCCGGCGGGACTGACACGGAGCCACTGCCACCTCCCACCACGGCAGCGGATGCCGCCGTCGGGACTGACACGGAGCCACTGCCACCTCCCACCACGGCAGCGGATGCCGCCGGTGGGACTGACACGGAGCCACTGCCACCTCCCACCACGGCAGCGGATGCCGCCGGCGGGACCGGCACGGAGCCACTGCCACCTCCCACCACGGCAGCGGATGCCGCCGTCGGGACTGACACGGAGCCACTGTCACTTCCCACCACGGCAGCGGATGCCGCCGGCGGGACCGGCACGGAGCCACTGTCATTTCCCACCACGGCAGCGGATGCCGCCGGCGGGACCGGCACGGAGCCACTGTCACTTCCCACCACGGCAGCGGATGCCGCCGGCGGCAGCGGTGCCGGGCCGGCGCGCGCTGAGAGGATCGCGTGCGCGGCAGACTTGTTGCCGGAGCAGTGTGTCGGGCCGACGGACGGCATGCTCGAACACTACTGGCAGTTTGTCCGCGAGAACCCGTACGACTTCAACGGCTGGACCTACCTTCTGCAGCATGTGGAGAAACAGGTGGGTGTGGAGAGGGCTGGAGAAACTGGAGAAACAGGTGGGTGTGGGGAGGGGGGGGGGGAGGGTGGAGACATTGGGCGTGAAGTGCTGGTTTCCCGGTGTTACAACCGTGTCATTGCTACCAACCTTTCGAATAAAAGATGTAATGAGTTGTCTGGATGGTCGATCCCGAATAAAGTGTGATTGAAATGGTTTCACTCTAACTGCACTGCTTGATAGATGCATCCACCATATATGTTTTATCTTCACTCGTCCTGTTCTGTTGGATGGGCTCTTTGCCAAGCATTTTTCCGTCCGCAAATCGTTTCCTGGCGGTTGATACCCAGGGTACATTCAACATGTAACACGATTATTAGATTGAATAAATTAAGGGATTCGTGTAAGTTGTAATTTCCTGCATTTGTTTTGGTTTTTGGTCTGGGTTTCAGAAGACGTAAATTGGCTTACGCTGTTTTTTGGGGGTGGGTGGGTGGGGCTGTTGTGAGGAGATCCAAACCAACTCATGCTTGAATTCACGTGCGCCAGTGTCTCTTTCATACCGTGAGAACTGAAAAGATCGTGGTGTTTCAGACCAACCTGGACGCCATCCGAGGCGTTTACAACGCATTTCTGCCGCTGTATCCGTACTGTTACGCCTACTGGAAGAAGTACGCCGACCTGGAGCAGCGGAGCGGCTACACTGAGAGGTGAGCCAGTGCCTGAGCTCCGTGGCGACGGGCCGGGCGCCGCGCGATCCCCGTGTGTGGACCTGTGTGACTTCACCCGATCGTCTCTGGCAGACGGGCAGACGGGCAGACAGGCAGACAGGCAGACAGGCAGACAGGCAGACAGGCAGACAGGCAGACAGGCAGACAGGCGGGCAGGCGGGCAGGCGAGCACTGTATGACCGCAGTTTCGGCCTCGGACCTCCTCAAGCGGCGTGGTCGGGTTTCAGGTCTCTGCAGATCCTAGAGCGAGCCGTCAAGGCGATCCCGCTGTCGATCGAGCTGTGGATGGCCCTGCTGAACCAGTTTCGCGACTCGGTGAAGGGCCAGAAGACAGCGGAGGAGCAGACTCGAGCGTGAGTGGTGTCCGAGGCCGAGGCGCCGGCTACCGCCTGGACCGCTGCTGGCTATGGCGATACGATGGTGCATTCCAACAGCCGTGTCTGGCATGCTTTACTGTACTAACCGCAATGTATTGTGTAATATGTTTCAAGAAGGGGAAGGGCAACGCTTGTGTTGCCACGCTGGCCAGCTGTCGGTCCACACGCCCGACTGCAGCTGACGTCATGTGGTGCCACGCTGCCCAGCTATTGGTCCTCACACCCGACTGCAACCGACGTCATGTGGTGCCACGCTGCCCAGCTATTGGTCCTCACACCCGACTGCAACTGACGTCATATGTTGCCACGCCGCTCAGCTATTGGTTGTCCGTCGGTCCGTTCACACGTCTGACATGTGCCGGCAGCATTTGTGAGCGGGCCGTCCGATGTGCCGGCGCCCAGTTCAGGTCCGACGCCCTCTGGGAATGCTTTATCCAGTGGGAATCCACTCATGGGGCCATGAGCAACGTCACCGCCATCTACCGGCGCCTACTGAAAATACCCACTCGCTTGTACAACCGACACTGGGACGAGTAAGTAGCTCATGTACGACATATTTTCCCTTAAGTTACGAATTCAGAACCTTTTTTAACTAAACTGTCTTCTTTCTTTTTTAAGCACACATTAATGCGTGCATTCGTTGCAACGTGAGGCCTGTTCCATACAGACCTGGTGCCTAATTTTGCCTTGGGAGCAAAAAATAATTGCACGCTTACAGTCGTGTCAGGCCGGCATTTGAAAATTTGCCGTGAAAATTGCAAAAGGCGAGTGTATTCTGTGCTCCTCTAGACATGGGACGAAGCAGAGGGCTAGACCCGCGAATTGTCGGCCCCAAACCGTGGCTGGGTACAGACTGCAGTGAGGAGGGAGATGAGAGATGGGAGATGGAAGCACCTGCGCCTGTGTGCTCGGTGCTCGTTGTCGAGGCCGCTCCGTCCACCTGTGCCGCCAGTTTCCTGCAGCACGTGCGGGACCATCACCCGCGTGACATCCTGGAGCGTGAAGAGTACGTGGCGCTGCGTCGCGCGTGCTGTCTCGAGCTGGGCGTGACGTACCGTGAGGAGTCCGCCTCTCCGCTCGCCGACCCTGCCAAGGTGATCACGGTAGGCGGGCGACGGGCGGCCAATACGCTGGGAGGCGGGGGTACTGACGTCATTTTCCTGGCGTGAGTCTCGTCTTATCTCACCCTAGAGATCTCGCTGGTCCTGCATTTACCGTGGTTTGGTGACGCCAATGGCCGGGGCGTTTGCAGTGGTTGGTAAACAGGCTAATGGTGAGCCAACAGATACTCAGGCTCTGATCCGCAGCCAGACGAAGGTCTTGTGCACCACGGCGTCTCTGTATTACGTTGTGGTTGGTTGACCAGACGAACGTAACTGGACGCTCCTTCCATACCGTTAGATCCGGCAGCCCGAGGTGAAGCTTGTCAGTGCTATCAAGGAGAAACTGGTGGCCTCCTTGGTCGCCATTCACGAGAAAACGGAGAAGAAGGCCGAGAAACGCTGGAAGTTGGAGGAAAAGGTAGGCCAGGAGGCCTCAACTCCAAGGCGATAAGATCTACCGACAGGGTGACGTGATAGCTGTCGGCTGGCAGAAGGCACAGTAGAAGGCTTCTGCACAAATCAATGGGGAATAGAATGTTTCATCGTTGTATGGGCAGGGTTTTGCACTGAGCTGGCTGAGTTAGGTTGATAGAAGCGCTGCGTGATGGAATGGTTTACACCATGGTATGGGCTTCTCTGTCATTTAGAACATTTAGATGGCCTTGTCCCGCGATGCGTAAATGACACTGCGGCTAACGACGTCAAGCGCGCATTTATCAAAGAAAAAGGGGGATAATCACCTTGCAGGCTCGCCTCTCCCACTGTTATTAACAGTATGACTGATGTCATGGCGGCAGTTTGTGTGACCGAATCGCTTGAACAGTATCAATAGTTTTCCATGGTCAAGGTAGTTATCTGTCCACCAAGAATGTCACACTTTGCATCCACGTGCATCCAAACAGATGACCATTTGCTTGGCCGTGGCGATTTTTCCTGGCGCTGGCAGTCTGTCGCTGACCGTCTCGGCGTCACTCCGCCCTGTCACGGCTTGCGCCTGACCCTGTTCTGTGCGTTGCGCGTGATGGACTGTGTTCTTCGGCAGATTAAGCGGCCCTACTTCCACGTGATCGCGCTGGACCGGCGTCAGCTGCGCGCCTGGCGCGACTACCTGGAGCTGGAAGCGGCCGACGGTGACCACGACTCGCTGGTCATGTTGTACGAGCGCTGCCTGATCGCGTGCGCCCAGTATGAGGAGTTCTGGCTGCAGTATGCCCGCTACCTGGAGCGTCGGCTGCAGTCGGTGCCGTCGCCGTCGGCCGCTGATGATGCGGCCATGCGGCGCCTGCTGGAGGCCGACCGGGCCGGCGGCGGCGGCGCCCAGTACGAAACAGAGTCGCGCCGTCTTCCCGAGGAACGGTCGCACGTGGCGGCCGGCTACGCGGCGCGTGCCAACCCAGCCGACGCTGTGCGTGAGGTGTACAAGCGTGCCTGCCTGGTGCACTGCCCGACGCGGCCCAATATTCGCCTGCAGTGGGCGGCGTTTGAGGAGAGCATCGGTGAGCGAGCGGCCGCCGGCGCGGCGCGCGCTGACCACGGACGCTGCCGGCGGACTGCGCCAGTGCCCGTCGGCTCTCGTGCTGCGGTGTTCCGTCGGAATACCATTGCTTTGAGAGCAAATCAATCGCGTTTAACCTCGAAATGGCCAGAATAGTAACGCCTTTCATCATGTGCCCGTAATTTGTGTCGCGTAGGCTGGGCTGGATGGACATATCCAAGGATAAACTTTAAAAAATGCTCACAGAACAGAATGACCGAAGTTGTCGTTTAACAAACTCATTGCTGTGCTCACGTCTCCCCAATGATCTCTGAATATTGCGGTTTTTTGGCCAGTTGACCGAATGCCTTCGTGACACGTTGTATTCAGTTCACCATGCCAGGATAGACTGGGAATTGGCCGACCTCTCTGTAGCGCTCGCACCGAGCCGTACTTCACCGCCAGCGTGTGCCCAGCACTAACGCCGCGGTCTGATTTCAGAGCTCAGCCGCCGTCGCCGGCTCGCCGGAGCGTAGTGTGTGTGACGTGTGTGTACCGCTGGTGACGCGAGTGGTGTGTATATGCCGCCGGCCGCCGCCGTAACTCTGCGCCTGCCCACTCGGTGGCTGAGTGCTTGGACCGGCCCGGCCGGAGGGCGACGCGGTGCGGTGCCGGAAACATGATTTGGGAGCTAAAACATTGCTGAACGGATGAAATGCGGCCGCCTCACAACTTCTGTGCCGCTTTAGGAACCGCGGTTTCAAAGGAAGGATATTGCTTGAAATTTTAATAAGTGTGCTAACCATGTTCACTTTTCTCGTTAAACAACACGTTGGATACATCACGCCTTGTTAGAGCTCAAAGGTCATCACGTTTGCGTCTGTTTCTAGAGCCGCATGCTCAAAACAAGTTACTCTCGACTGGGAACGGCAACCAAAGGCTTAAACCATGTTTAACTGATCGCATCTCCTCATTCCGGACGAACCCGGCTTGCTGTACGCCCTCGAGTGCCCACCGGCTGAAGCTCCGCCGGCCGGGCCGTCCGTTGGCCCAAGCACTCCGCGGGCGCGGCGTTACCGCTGCCTGCGTGTCTCCGTCTCTCCGCTCCGCCTGCCGCCCCGGCCGCTCCCACCGCCCGCTGACCCGCTGTCGGCCAGCAGGCAACGTGGGCACGGCGCTGCAGCTGCTGGGCCAGGTGGTGGCCAGCTTCCCGACAGCGGTGCGGCCGCGGCTGCTGCTGATCGGGCTGGAGCGGCGCCGCGGCCGGCCGGACGAGTGCAGCCGGCTGTACCAGGCGGCCGCCGACGCCGCGCCCGCCCACCTCGCCACGTGGTGGGCCATGAAGCACGCCCGCTTCTGCTTCAAGGTTGGTGGGATGCGCCACCCGCTCGGAAAGCCCACTGAAGGCACTGACTGCCAGCCGGAACGCTGGGAGCGCCGGCCTGAGATGGGGTCTGCGCTAGCCAAAGATCCGGGGCCAGTTGTGATATAGCGCCGGCATGAGATGGGGCCTGCGCTAGCCAAAGATCCAGGGCCAGTTGTGATATAACGGTGACGTGGGGTGTTCCTGTTGGGCGGGGAAGGCCACTGTGAGCATTTCTCCGTTTACGTAGTGTGCTTACACAGACGTGTTTGAAGGGACCGGCGTCGTGTTGGGGCGCCAGTGGTGCGGGAGTCCAGCTGTGCTGGGCTCGGGTTTCAGAACGTGTGTGGCCACTCGCTGACCTACTGAGTCTAGCCGGCTGCCGCGCGGACTGGACCAGCCAGCGCGGCCTGGTCTCAGCTCTGTACGGCACGACCGGATGCCTCCGAGGTCTCCTTTGCCCAGACGCCGAATCAAATTATTCGTTCAAACTGGCTTATGCTACCCGGCTGATTAAAGGAAAGTACGCAACAAACGCCGTCTAACGTGGTCTGTGCATTCCATGCTATCCTTACATTCATTTGGGCGTCTGCAGAGCATCATTTTGATGAAGCTGAGGAACGCTGAAACATATTAAACCAGACATCATCAGTCAGTTTTGTTTCATGCGGTGCGGAATTCACGGTTTACTACAGCACACGATCGGCTGGCATTGCATGGGTTACGTGTGATGTGCTGCCGCCTGTGTGTCGTGTTAAAACTTGGTGAAGGATTTCTTGCGCCCGTGGGTGTACAATGGCAGCACGCGGGCACCCTCAAGTACCAGTTTTATAGGCAAACGGGCGTGCGCTGAATCGTTCTTCACCAGCTGTGGTTGGCTGTAATAGCCTGAAACATATCCGAACCTCCCACACAGATTCATGGCACACACGGGTCGTTTCTGTTATTTCCTGGCCCGTTTCAGCAGCGCAGTGGTGTTGCCGGCAAATTCTGAACAAGCCGGACAAGGCTCTGAGAATTCCCATCCCGTATGAGCAGCGTAGTGGTGTTGTTAGCAGATTCTGAACAAGCCGGAAAAGGCTCTGAGAATTCCTATCCCGTATGAGCAGCGTAGTGGTGTTGTTGGCAGATTCTGAACAAGCCGGGCAAGGCTCTGGGAATTCCTATCCCATATGAGCAGCGTAGTGGTGTTGTTGGCAGATTCTGAACAAGCCGGACAAGGCTCTGGGAATTCTGCGGACGGCCGTCAAGCGGGACCGCTCCAACCCGCGTCTGTACCTGCACATCCTGGACGTGTGCTACCAGCGCCACCCGGTGGACGTGAGGTGAGTCTCTGTCGCTCTCGGCCGGGCAGGGGGCGTCAGAGGCGCCGGCGCGCCGCTGCCTCCGCTTGTGTTACGCCGAACTAGGACCTTTTCTGGCTAGAAAACTGAACCTGTTGGGTTGCTGAGTTCCCTGAAGTCTGCGTTTGCGTGTACATTTTCGTCGTGGTTGTGTGGCGAACCGTCGTGAAGTCCACCACCTCTTGTGTGGTAGTCAAAGGTGGGCTGTGGCAGTGCCTGGTTGGTATTTTCTCCGCCAGGGGCGTGACGGCGGCGCTGACGCTGGCACTCAACAGCAAGGACGTGTCGGCGCGTGACAAGCTCGGTTTCCGGCGCAAGAAGGTGGAGTTCTTCGAGGAGTTCGGCTCGTTGCGCCAGCTGCGCGAGGCCGAGGACGAACTGGAGACGGCCGAGCGCGTGCTGGCCGCCACCGAGCGCAAGCAGGCGCGCCAGCAGGGACAGGACGCGCAGGAGCAGGAGCCGGAGCAGGAGGACGCTGGGGGCGCGGCCGGCCGGCCCGTCGCCAAGCGGCGGCGGAAGGTCGAGATGGAGCCGACGCCGCCGCCACCGCTGCCGAATGGTGCCGTCACGCCGCCCGGTGGGTGTGTGCTGGTCCGGCGGCGCCAGCCACTGGCGGTGCGCCGTCTCAGCCGTGTAGCCGCCTTCTTTGCACGTGCTCGATAGGCCTTTTGGTGGAATCTGGCTGGTGGTGAGGGGTGGTCGACGGTAACACACGGTTGGCTTGCGGGGGTGTCTGACTCCCGTCTGTTTTGTTCTGAATGTAATCAGCGTTTTCCGGCGTGACCAAGAGACAAGATAGGTAGCTTACGCCAGGCTGCCGTGTTTGATGCAGTGCAAGGTATCTAGCAGCGTTTTGGAGTTCCTGCAGTAAAAAAAACCTTCAAGTGTTGCTCGACGCCGTGCAGACCTCTTCAAAAAGTGATGAAAATTGGAGCACAACTTAAAAACGCCTGTCATCGCTGCGCAGGGGGGGGGGGGGGCAGTGCTCCGTTGGTCAGTGGTCTTGAGGCGTCCACATGCTCCTGCAGCGGCCGCGTCCGGCGCCGCCCAGTGCTGTCCGAAGTGCGGCTGGGACGGCTCCGAGCCGCAGACGCCGGCTGGCCAGCGGCCGCCGGCGCCGGCAGCGCTTCAGCCGTCCTCCTACGGCCAGGTGCCCCCACCTGGGACCTCACCATGAAGACGGACGCCTGCGGGTCAGTCGTGCGCCCGGATCGGCACGTCTGGCGGCGCCAGCGTTCCTGTACTTGTTGCCATGATCGATGGAGCTATCTGTCGGCTGTGAACGGCGAGCCGGTGTGGTGAGGGTGCTGCCAGTGGACCGCCTGTTCCGCTGAAATGGCCGTGACAGTGCGTGCCGCCCGGCGTTGCTCTGCGCCGTGTCCGTCACATTGCACCCCAGGCCCAGTCGCCGACCCTGACCGTGTCACGTGCCGCCGCAGGTACGGCAAAGACCCGCAGTACAAGTGGTTCCAGGAGCAGGGCTACCGCGACTACGACGCGCGCGAGGCCGGCGGCTACCCGACCACGCTGCTCGATCCCGTGTCGTCTGACGAGGAGGCGCTGAGCGGGCCGCCGCCGCCGCCGCCGGCCAAGCGGCCGCGGCCCGACGACGGCCAGACGCCACACATCGTCACCAAGGACGGACGACGGTGAGCGGCCGGCCGGGTCCCGACGACCCACGGAGAGCGGCCGGCCGGGTCCCGACGACCCACGGAGAGCGGCCGGGCGGGTCCCGACGACCCACGGAGAGCGGCCGGCCGGGTCCCGACGGCCCACGGAGAGCGGCCGGGCGGGTCCCGACGACCCACGGAGAGCGGCCGGGCGGGTCCGACGACCCACGGAGAGCGGCCGGCCGGATCCCGACGACCCACGGAGAGCGGCCGGGCGGGTCCCGACGACCCACGGAGAGCGGCCGGGCGGGTCCCGACGGCCCACGGAGAGCGGCCGGGCGGGTCCCGACGACCCACGGAGAGCGGCCGGCCGGGTCCCGACGGCCCACGAAGAGCGGTCGGGCGGGCCCCCACGACCCACGGAGAGCGGCCGGCCGGGTCCCGACGGCCCACGGAGAACGGTCGGACGGGTCCCCACGACCCACGGAGAGCGGCCGGCTGGGCCTCAACGACCCACGGAGAGCGGCCGGGCGGATCCCGCGACCCACGGAGAGCGGTCGGGCGGATCCCGCGACCCAGGGAGAGCGGCTGGCCGGGTCCCGACGGCCCACGGAGAGCGGTCGGGCGGGTCTCCACGGCCCACGGAGAGCGTGCCAACGGGCCAGAGCGGTGGCTATTTAGAGATTGAAAACGTGCGGAAGGCGATGTGTATTGCAGTGCTGTCGTGCTCCGGAGTCACAAACTGACAGTTTCAAGTGGTTTTCTGGTCGTTTGCTTAGCTCCTGTTATGTTTTGAATACCTTGTCTGTTATCGTGGCGGCCACTCACGTCCTCCCTCTGGTGTTTGCTATTGGCTCGGGACTTGGCCTGCGTCGATGTACCAGGTTACGGTGCCACTGCGGCTGCTCCGTGAGTCGTCTGGTTAGCAGTCCCCCCTCTGTGACCCGGCTGTTGGTCACCAGTCCCCCCTCTGTGACCCGGCTGTTGGTCACCAGTCCTCTGTGACCCGGCTGTTGGTCACCAGTCCCCGGATCCGTTGGCATCCGGATCCGTCACCAGTCTCCCTCTGTGACTCAGCTGTTGGTCGCCAGTCCTCTGTGACCCACCTGTTGATCATTAGTCCTTCTCTGTGACCCGGCCGTTGGTCATCAGTCCCCGTCTGTGACCCGGCTGTTGGTCATCAGTCCCCGTCTGTGACCTGGCTGTTGGTCATCAGTCCCCGTCTGTGACCTGGCTGTTGGTCATCAGTCCCCGTCTGTGACCCGGCTGTTGGTCATCAGTCCCCGTCTGTGACCCGGCCGTTGGTCATCAGTCCCCGTCTGTGACCCGGCTGTTGGTCATCAGTCCCCGTCTGTGACCCGGCTGTTGGTCATCAGTCCCCGTCTGTGACCCCGGCCGTTGGTCATCAGTCCCCGTCTGTGACCCGGCTGTTGGTCATCAGTCCCGTCTGTGACCCGGCTGTTGGTCATCAGTCCCCGTCTGTGACCCGGCTGTTGGTCATCAGTCCCGTCTGTGACCCGGCTGTTGGTCATCAGTCCCCGTCTGTGACCCGGCCGTTGGTCATCAGTCCCCGTCTGTGACCCGGCTGTTGGTCATCAGTCCCCGTCTGTGACCCGGCTGTTGGTCATCAGTCCCCGTCTGTGACCCGGCTGTTGGTCATCAGTCCCCGTCTGTGACCCGGCTGTTGGTCATCAGTCCCCGTCTGTGACCCGGCCGTTGGTCATCAGTCCCCGTCTGTGACCCGGCTGTTGGTCATCAGTCCCCGTCTGTGACCCGGCCGTTGGTCATCAGTCCCCGTCTGTGACCCAGCTGTTGGTCATCAGTCCCCGTCTGTGACCCAGCTGTTGGTCATCAGTCCCCCGTCTGTGACCCGGCTGTTGGTCATCAGTCCCCGTCTGTGACCCGGCCGTTGGTCATCAGTCCCCGTCTGTGACCCGGCTGTTGGTCATCAGTCCCCGTCTGTGACCCGGCTGTTGGTCATCAGTCCCCGTCTGTGACCCGGCTGTTGGTCATCAGTCCTCTGTGGCCCGGCTGTTGGTCATCAGTCCCCGTCTGTGGCCCGGCTGTTGGTCATCAGTCCTCTGTGGCCCGGCTGTTGGTCACCAGTCCTCTGTGGCCCGGCTGTTGGTCACCAGTCCTCTGTGGCCCGGCTGTTGGTCACCAGTCCCCGGATCCGTTGGCAGAGTGCCGCGGTACGTGATCCCGCCTCAGGCGCCGCCTCTGCGGCCGCTGATGCAGCCGCTGGTGCTGCAGCCGACCGAGGCGCCTGGCCGGCAGGAGCCCCGGCGACCGCCCCAGGTACGGACTGACGACCCTGGCACCGACTGATGGCTGAGGTACTCACCGGCTACCCGGATACAGGCCGACGCCCGGGCACTCACTGATAACCGGGGGGTACTGACACGCGACCTGGGTCTGACCGTCGACCCAGGCACTGATCGCCGATCCCGTTGCTGACCACCGCTCACCATCACGCCGTGTTGCCGTCCACGGCGGCTCTCCGGCTCGCCGGTGCCAGCTGTGCGTGATGTCAGACGGCCGCGCAGCGTGAGGTGGGCTCAGATCTCAGTCTTTGACCCATATTGCGAACCGCTGGTGATAATGCGACCAACAAACGCCATACCCAGCGCAATCGCTCGACGCGCCTTGAACGTGTCACCTGGCGTGAGGTGTTCGCGTGGCCGCGTGCTGACCGTCGCCCGGCGCGTCCAGTTGGCGCGCTTGCGGCCGCCACCACCGCCGCCACCGCCAGCGCAGGAGACGGGCGCCTCGTGTGTGAACGTGCCTGAGTGGCTGGTGCGCGAGGGCGGCGAGCTGTGGCCTCTCCGAGACGGACGGCGGTGTGTCGCTGATTCGGTACTGGCCCCGCTTCATGAACGACTGCGGTGTCCAGGTGAGCGCTGCGCCCGCGCCCGCGTCCGCGCCTTCCGGCACGCGTGGGTGTGTGGGGAGGACAGGGGGAGGGGGAGAGGTGCGAGGGCGGTGTTTCGGACTTGAGAATGAGAACATCCTGCGCCCAGCGTGTTATGTTGTCCCTAGCACAACCGATTGCGTGACGGGTCGGGCGCCAATGGCCATGGCCGTTCGTTTAAGGGCGCGTAAGTGGGCGGGCTGTGGTGGGGACCTCATAACGGACTCACTGGTCACGGCTATCTTACAGGAGAGACAAAGTTACTTCGACAACCTTTGCAAAATTTTGATTTTTGGACGTCAAACGTCGCAGAAATTCAGGAATCCTCACACGTATTCGTTCACATCTATTGGCGCATTTATTCACGTACCTATTTCAAATAACGTTGCCGGAAAGGGCTGTTGGAAGCCCTGCCCATGTTAGCTGACGGAGTGAGTTAATTTTTATCTTTTTACTTGTGCATCTACTGTGAGAGCGGTATCGAGAAAACAAATTTTTGTGAGGGCATGGTCACGGCTGATCCGACAACATCCCTGTATGATTTTGGTGGTCCAATTGCTCCCTGCGTAAGCCAAGTGACTGCCACTCAGAACTGGTTTTTAGAACGTTTCATTCGTCGCTTCCTTATCGATTACTCGTGTTCCTGGTCTAGGGTAGAGGTTAGCTAGCTGATTCGAGGTGTTACAGTCCCGTACACAATGCACTCTGTTCTTTGTCTATATGCCCTGGTTGGCATGATCCAACGTCAATTCTCGAAGAACTGTAAACTGGCAGCTGCATGGCCGGCTCCCAAACGCTCGTGACATGCTGCACTGAGCGGTACACGGTCGTGGGGCACGATTGTCCGTTCTTTTCGCAGGCAAATCGGGATGGCTCCACATTGTCGCGGCCCAGGTTACTCAGGCCTTGGCCCAGATTCACCCCCGCGTCGTGTTGGTCTTTGTCAGCTCTCAAAACCCACGTTCCCGGTCTTAACCAAATGGGGAGGCGTAAAGTTTGACTCCTTACAAGGCTGCAGGAAAAACACCCTTGATTTGATAGGTTGCATACAAGTTCTTTGAAAACGTTGCATCATGCGTCTTAAAGTAACTGTGCTACTTGTTGCTGAGAACTGCTCAGAGGTGCGATGTCTAGTTGCACGTGACAGCGGCCTGCATAAGTTTTAAAAAGATACACAGTTTTGGAAGGGCTCACTGCCAACCCTCCCCCCCCCCCCGCCAGCCAATAGCCGATCTGAGCTGTTGATCCTGGTCCGTCGTCTGAGGGGTCAGCTACCGGTCCTTCGACTAACATGCCCGGTGTGCCTGATCCGCTGGTCCCTCGACTAACGTGCTCGGTGTGCCTGATCCGCCGGTCCCTCGACTAACGTGCCCTGTGTGCCTGATCCGCTGGTCCCTCGACTAACGTGCCCGGTGTGCCTGATCCGCCGGTCCCTCGACTAACGTGTCCGATGGCCTTATCCGCCGGTCCCTCGACTAACGTACCCGGTGTGTCTGATCCGCTGGTCCCTCGACTAACGTGCCCGGTGTGCCTGATCCGCCGGTCCCCCGACTAACGTGCCCGATGGCCTGATCCGCCGCTCCCTCGACTAACGTGAGATGGCCGCTGCCATGATTGGCTTGAGATGATCGCCCTTGTTCACTTGTCTCACCTGATGTGTCCGCCTCCGGCCCCTTGTCTAACCCGAGATCCCGCTCCCATTGCTATGAATGGCCTGGGATTGCCGCCTCCATCCCCCTGACTGGCGCAAGCCGAGCCGCCACCGGTGCCTCGTTTAACCCGAACCGTGCGCCACCGATGCCTCGTCTAACCCGAGCCGTGCGCGACCGGTGCCTCGTCTAACCCGAGCCGTGCGCCACCGGTGCCTCGTCTAACCCGAGCCGTGCGCGACCGGTGCCTCGTCTAACTCGCGTCTAACCCGAGCCGTGCGCGACCGGTGCCTCGTCTAACCCGAGCCGTGCGCCACCGGTGCCTCGTCTAACCCGAGCCGTGCGCGACCGGTGCCTCGTCTAACCCGGGCCGCGCGCCACCGGTGCCTCGTCTAACCCGAGCCGTGCGCCACCGGTGCCTCGTCTAACCCGAGCCGTGCGCCACCGGTGCCTCGTCTAACCCGAGCCGTGCGCCACCGGTGCCTCGTCTAACCCGAGCCGCACGCCGCCGGTCCCGCAGCGCATGTTCCATACGCTGCGCCGCTACGTCAAGTGGCACCAGACGCGCCAGGTGGCGCCCGACGGCCGGTTCGTGGCGCTGAAGCGGCTGGTGGCCTGGTTCGGTCCGTGCAGTCTGGAGGAGTCCGGCCTCATGATGCCCGCCAATGATAGCTGGGCGCCAGAGCTGCTCGACCTGCTGCAGAGGTCAGTGGGCTGCTGTCGTGGCAGCGCCGCCTGCGTCTTGTGAAAGCCCCGGGTCCCCGCCTGAGAGCCGGGGTCAGACCGGTCAGACTAGTCAGGCTGGCGGCGAACTATTCAGTGCGAGCGAGTCGTTATGATGGCGTGGTTTGGTAGAGCGGTTGTCCGTGGGGTGTCATGACACGTTGGTCTTATTGACATCGATTTATGAGAGCGTCGTCGGTCGAAGCTCTCCGCTCGGAGCCGCCATATCACATTGTGCTTCATCCAAACGTAGCTGAGTTCATCCTGTGCTGTCCCTTCCTATGCTGCTTCAGTTCATGGGTCAGGAATCCAGCAACCTCCACGCGAATGTTCCATCTCGCAGACTCATCCAGCTGGGGCATCAGGGTCCACCAGCTGACGTATGTGTGGCGCGCGTGTGTTGGATGAGTGTTCTCGGGCGAGGAGTTCAACAGCTGCCATGTGAGTGTTACATCTTTCCCCCAGGCTGATGCAGCTCACGGGTCAGGAGTTCAACAGCTGCCACCTGAGCCTATTCCGGAGCGGGCACGACCACGAGCCGTGGCACACTCACGACCAGCCGACGCTGGGCCGACAGCCGGCCATCGCCATCGTCTCTCTCGGTGGGTTCTGCGGCGCGGGCTCGACAGCGATATCCGTCAACATCGCACGGACACGGCAGAGCGGCGGGCAGAACTGCTGCGGGCGGAAACCGGAGCAGGCAGCGACTGGGACACGTTTGTCAGACCGTGCTGTCAGCTGTTGGGCAGGATGAGCTTTTTGATGACGGGACGAAATCCACGACCGTCTGCAGTATCACGCATTCGTTAGAAGTCTCATATCTTTTGTTCTAATTTGAGCTCGATCGCTGTATCCCCGCCAACAGCGTGAGTCCAGCGCTCCCGGGGGCTGTGGGTGTAATACCCAGAGTTGCTCTCGGCACTTTTTGCTGGTTTCGAAAGCCATGTTGTCCATATAACTAGTGTCAGCATCGGAAAATCACCGAATCTGGTGTAATTTGGTAATTCTATCTCTTATTTTATGGAATGTATAATACTTGCGTGCCTGTGCGTCGAATGCCACGATACTGCTGCAAGCAATGGTTGCATTGAAGGGTACGCCGTTAGTTACAAAGTTTTCCGGGCGCGATGTTTTTTCTTCGTTTGCTTCCCATTTATTCCCGTCCTACCATGCGAAAAAACCGGTAAAGCCCATGCATGGAATAATCGTTGGTCAGCCAGTCACGGCCTGTGCTCAGGCTTTGGACTCTATCGTCGATGCAGTCTTTCGGAATAATATCCGTCCCGGACCGTTATCCGTACGGCTCATCGGTAGACAAATACTATCAGAGACTTTGGAATGGCGCGAGGCTCATAATGTCACGGCGATGTTCACCTTCGTGAGAAGTGGTTGAAGACCGGTGGACTTGCCCGCAGAAGATGCCACAGCTTTGTTGTTGTTTTCACAGGGGAAACAGAATGTCAGAGCGCTGTTGTGTTCGGAAGCCTGTCGTTACAAACGTGTACGACACATTTAATGCCACAAATCTTCTACGGAAACTCCGTCCGTCTTCGACTAGCAATAACGAGGGTGAACATCGCCGTGACGTTACTCCATTTATCTCTGCTCCATCTTACTCCATCTTTACTCCATCTACTCCATCTTACTCCATCATACTCCATCTTACTCCATCTTACTCCATCTTCATTTATCTAGGCTATCGGGGACTCCAAAGTGCCTGATAACATTTGTCTACCGATGAACCCTGGGAATTACGGCCCGGGATGGATGTTGTACCCCTTTCTTTCAGCCCGACGATGCGCGTAAGCCCCGGACTCGAAGTGATGTCCGGTTCTGTGTGCACGCCAGGTGCTGTCCGGAATTTTGAGCTGCGCCAGAAGAGTGGCGGTGGCACCAGGTTCCTGCGGTTTCCGCTGTTCCCTGGTAGCGTTACTGCTGATGGAAGGCAATACTCAGGAAGACTGGGTTCATCAGGTGGGTGAGACAGCGCCGGCCCCTCTGGCCCGTCTCCGGACGGGCCCGGTGCCCCAGGGCGCCTGCACGGGGCTTCTCAGCTGTTTGCCATGCAGCACAGGAGTCCTCCTTTGCGGGCTGTCAATAAATGTGATTCGGAGCACTCTGTTGTAAATTGTGTTTAGATTGTTTGCTAAAAGTGACCAGCTTTTTGTGACGCTTTCAGGTTCCTAAGGATCCTCTCGCTAAGGAGGAAAGAATCAGTCTGCAGTTCCGGGTCATGTACGATCCAATGGATATCCAAGCACAAAACAGGCCACGGCTGTGAATCCCACCATGAAGTCGGCAATAGAGGTGCAGCACATAGGCCGGCGGGGAACGTGGCGTCACTGGCCCAGATGTGACTTTGTGTAGCTGTAGAGCGTGCAGGTGGAAGATGTACTGCCTTGCACTGCATTCAGCGTTAGAACAGTCAGATGTTTGGCGTGGGATGATGGCGTTTGTTGTGAAGTATTGTCGCAGGAGACTTCGCTTCACATGTTTAAGATGGTATTTAGATACGTTTTGATCGCCACAAGTATCGGTACTTTCATCTCCATCGGTCGTGTGCAGTGACGCGCGTTTCACTACGTATTCCTAGTAGCTGTAAAAAATAAATGCATATTTCTCCATCCTTTTTCGTGTCTGAAGGCGTCACAGTTGGGAACTTCGTCACACCTTTTGCAATGGTCAAGCGGCACATGAGCACGCTCTCGTCTTTGTCTCGGCATACAGACAGTCGGACCACAACCGTGCAGCGTTCATCTATCAAATGGGAAGCTGCCAGCCAATAACCCGATCAGCGACGCTCCTGACTCAGGTGCAATCAAGGAACATCACGAAGGCCAAAATGCTCCCTGACTGATATCCATTAGTACGAAGATGGCGAACACCCTCACAGATTTCTGCGGCGCACTGCCTGGCATTAACAATCCCGACTCCCGCAGGCTTTCTGGAATAACCAGTTTGGTCGCATTTTAATGAGGGTTTTGTGAATCAAGGCTCGTGCCATGTGAGTTATCGGGTTGTGTTACATAATGACGTCCATCAGAATGATTGCCGCGATTTAATGGGCGTTTGGGCCGCGAAGGTCGTTTTATTTCCTTTGACACTCGCACCGGTGTGCTTGTTCGATACCCTGCACGCCATCTGGCTGCCTGTCCACTGGTAACGACTCCCGACGAACCGCCCACTGGACCCCCCTCCCCTCCCCCCGTGTCGCGTGGACTGATTGATGACTGTCGTGCCGACGGTCTGTCGCGTGCCCCTGGATCGGCTCAGGCAGACAGACTTACAGTTGGCGTCATCCGCTGGCCAGGTGGAGGAGCCGTCCTTCAACGTCGCGTTCTTGCCGCGAAGAAACGAACGATTTTGCAAAGAAACGATTCGTTGGCAGCGTGCTGTGCAGTGGTCTGCTCGCGCTGCTTGCTTTCGCGGGAGCGGGGACGTGAGTGATAACAGTTTGTGTGGATCTGGCAAGCGGGTGATGAAGCTGTTCCCAACACTGAGGCCACCCCCATGACCGACGCTAGGCTATGGCTGGAGAACCGGCGCATGTCGGTGAACCCGTTCGAGTGGCTCGAGCCAGTGGACTACTCGTTTCTTAGACTGGCAGCGTTTTAATGGTGAGTAACACGTTTCATCAACCTCGCATGGTGTTTCCAACCCTCCAGATATAGCAATGTGTCAGTTTTCTTGTAACATCCCATTGTAAGAGCGAGAGCACCATGGCTGTTTTATCCTCACCCGGCTGGAGGACTGGGTTTGCAAGATACCTTTGAACGAAGACATGATGCATAGGCATGTGCGGTCTGACGCGTTCCCCACAGCAACCGTAGTGCCCGCCAGGGATATGGTATTTGTGATAATTGTGACTGACTTCACCGAGTCCCGCCCGGCCGGGTCCAGCCCAGCCGGCGCTGCCGGTGACCCGACGGCCGTGTGCCGCAGAGGTGGAGGGCGAGGACCCGCGCACCGACAGTCACTGCCCGCGCGTCGACCCCGAGTCTAAGCGGTTTCATCGCCAGCACGGTGCGATTCAACAACAACCACATCACGGAGCTGCCGAGCTGTCGGCCACGCTCGACTCCCTGCTCTTCGACCGCGGCATGCTCACCTGGCTCGATCTCTCCTTCAACGCCATCGCGGCCATCGACGCCAACCTGACGTGCCTGACCAGCTGCGCGTGCTCTACTTTCACGCCAACCAGCTGGCCAGCTTGCAGGAGGTGGCCAAGCTGACGATGCTGCCGTACCTGCGAGCGCTGACGCTGCACGGCAACCCGCTGGAGGAGGGCACGCCGCGCTACCGGACGCGCGTGCTGCTACTGCTTGCCTGGGCTTCGCTCGGCTCGGACTTCAGCGCCGTCACGCGCCGGGACCGCGCAATCGCCCAGTTTAACATGCTGCCCAAGCCGCGGCCGCGCAGAATTAAGGACGACGACGATGACGCGGCCGTCTGATGCGCTCCGTCCCAGGCTCACGGAATTTCGTCTGCGCGTAGGACTAGAACTTGATGTACGTCTTTTATGCTCAATGGCAGCCTCGCAATGTTTAATATGGGAACTGTTCTCTCGTTAAAGCGCATACGACGCGGGCTTGGCTGTTTATTTCAACTCACGATTGCCTCAGTTCAAACATTGATTGTCGACAAATCCGAGTAAAAAAATCGGTCCCCTGTCGACGTTAGTACCGCAGCTTATGACTTGCAACCTCGAGCCGACACGCAGATATTATGAACACATTGCACTTCATCAATAAGCGGCACCCGCCATCGCACCGGCTCGGAAGTGTGAGCCTGCAGGACACGAAACCGAACAAGACTTCGCAACACCGGGAATTCAACCTCAGATATAATAAACCAAGACATACACTGCATTCCCCTAATCACTGGACTTGGGTTCGAACTGTTTCAGAAAGTCCTCCTCCATGGGATGGGTCTTTCCCACGATCACAAGCGAATGAAGCGGCGGGCCGGCGTCACAGACGGCCAGGTCGCGGAGAGGGCCCACCTCGATCCGCTGCCGGTCGGTGCCGACGCGCGCCAGGCCGACGGGCGCGCGTGCTCGGCGTCAGGCCCGCCCAGTCCTCGGGCCGGTCGGCTACCGCCTCCAGCAGCTGGCCGGCCGCCGCCGACACGCTCATGTAGCGCGGCGGCTCGAACACGCGCCGGCCGCGCACCAGGTTCTCCACGCTCTGCTCCTTCACCTTGATGTCGAGCAGGCAGAGCGTGTGCAGGCCGCGCGCCAGGTTGGCGTCGATCCCGCTCGACAAAGCTGTCGGGCCGCCACGTTTCGGTCCCAGAACGGGATGGAGAGACCGTCTCGCCCGAAGCTTGTACAGCTGCAGGCCGCAGCACCCGACGGCGCTCATGATGCTGGCGTTGTGCACCACTGGCAAGGCACGCCGCGCTCGGCGGCGCGCAGCACCAGGTCGTGGTGCGTTGGTGGCGGGCGAATGGGTCGCCGACCACCAGCAGGGCGACGTCGCGCTCGGTAGCGCCGGCGATGACCGAGTCCAGGCCCTGCTCGACTGTCTCGCGGTCGGCCAGCGTCACCGGCCCGGCGCGTACAGCTCCTCCAGCGCCTCCACGCCGCACGTCAGGATCGAGGTGTACGCCTCCAGGTAGACGGCGTCGCAGCGGCGCACTATCTCCAGGCCCCTTCACGGAGATGTCGCGGGCGTCTCCCAGGCCCAGACCCACCCAGGTAGAACATGGCCGCCCCACCTAGCTGGAACGGCGACGACAGCAGATGTCAGGCGTTGGGCTGCCGCCGGGTGACATGTACGTGGCATTGAAGCACAACCCGCAAATTTGCAGCTCTCAATAGCTTTTTATGAGCGACAGGTGACTCAGCCAGTGCTTCAATATCAGATACAAACGGCAACACATTAAATGGCACACAGTATCACAAGGAATACTTTCGGAATGGTTTCAGCAGGCTGCTGTACAGACTGCAGGATAAGAGACTGTAGTTGCTGTCGTGGCGTGCATGTCAAAACATGGTCCGATATAATGCCTGGGGAAACATTCCGAGAGTGATTTGATCTTACGCAGTACAACGTCAATGAGTATAACGACGTTAGGAAAGTGAGCGTCCCGGTCAAATGCCAGGGCAACAGCCTGAGAAAATGGGCACGGTTACTGTCAATGCCCCGCCAATCTCTGTACACTGTCAGACTGATGTGATCGCGCTCTTCAGCCGCTCGGTAGCGTACGATTCCCCTGTTGTGTTTAGCAAGAGGGGAAGTCATTCGGTATTCATTCCCTTCGTACTGCACTTGGGTTTGAACTGTTCCAGGAACCTCTCCACATGTAGTGTGTGTTGCCTTGTGATTGCGAGTGAGCAGCGTGGTGGACAGGTCTCGTCCGCCATCTAACGGAGTGGCCGAACTTTCCCTACCCTGTTACCTATCATTCAGTTGGTGCCCAGCGCTACCGGCGACAGTGCACAGCAATCCGAAACTGGTGCTGTGAGGAGTTAACTTTTGGGCTCATGAGCAACTTGTCGGCCGGCGAACGAAACGCGTGGGAAAATAATCGAATGCGCATTAATCCGAAGGGAAGTTTCCCGTATGCCCAGCGTAGCACAGGTCCGTCTCCAAACTAGGGGCGCAGGCAGCACCCGCGCCACAGCCGGTCCCCATCACCGGCCTCCGCTCTCAGGCGGCACAGGGCCGTCTCTAGACGACAGGCGCAGGCAGCACCCACCACAGCCGGTCCCCATCACCGGCCTCCGCTCTCAGGCGCACAGGGCCGTCTCTAGACGACAGGCGGGCAGCACCCCACCACAGCCGGTCCCCATCACCGGCCTCCGCTCTCAGGCGGCACAGGGCCGTCTCTAGACGACAGGCGCAGGCAGCACCCACCACAGCCGGTCCCATCACCGGCCTCCGCTCTCAGGCGGCACAGGGCCGTCTCTAGACGACAGGCGCAGGCAGCACCCGCGCCACAGCCAGTCCCCATCACGGCCTCCGCTCTCAGGCGGCACAGGGCCGTCTCTAGACGACAGGCGCAGGCAGCACCGCGCCACAGCCAGTCCCCATCACCGGCCTCCGCTCTCAGGCGGCACAGGGCGTCTCCTAGACGACAGCGCAGCAGCACCCGTGCGCGAGACAGGCAGCCCACAGCCGCTCATCGCCGGCTCGGTCTCAGGCGGCACAGGGCGTCTCTAGACGACAGACGCAGGCAGCACCCGCGCCACAGCCAGTCCCCATCACCGGCCTCCGCTCTCAGGCGGCACAGGGCCGTCTCTAGACGACAGGCGCAGGCAGCACCCCACCACAGCCGGTCCCCATCACCGGCCTCCGCTCTCAGGCGGCACAGGGCCGTCTCTAGACGACAGGCACAGGCAGCACCCCACCACAGCCGGTCCCCATCACCGGCCTCCGCTCTCAAGCGACGCCGCAAACGGCAAGCAGCTACCATTCGGATGTTACGATCATCATCAATGCAGGCAAGATGACCAAACTTTTTTGTTATTACATCCATATTTACTGCAGAGAAGATTAAGTTGCTCTGGCACCCTCATACAATGCACAGCTTTTCCTCAGATTTCCTCCCAATCAAGAGGGTTGTGAAATAACCTTCAGTATGTCATAAGCCAAGTAGTGCAACATTTGTTTATGTCATCCCCCAGTGTATACCACTTTGTTGCTGGGGTGATGCTATCAGCTCCTCCAGTTGGGGCTGAGGGGGTAGATAAAACACCTTTTGTTTGTCTATATTCCTACACATCAAAATGGCTTAAGTATGTGTCCAATATCCACTAATATACTTTAGCACAGACCACCTCAATGGCAGTCAACAGGTCAGAAAAGATTTGGAATCATATCTTGCTATCACAACTATGACAATCATGGCAGCAAACATACTGTCTGTTTCCCTTGCTCAGCACCATACCTGCTTATGTCATGTACACCCCCCTCACCATGAGCCAACTTGAGTGTATGCAACTGGGTGGTCTGTGACAATAATGTACAGGATTAATGCATGGCATGTGTGGCATAAGCTTCACCACATTCAAACCAAAATAAATCTTATTTTGGTCATCACATAAATATTTCAAAACAGAGTGCACCAAATGGTTCCAACCATGCATACACTGTGAATACTTCAAAGACAAATGAGCTGCACATTTTGACCTGTGCTAACAGAAACACAATTGCTTTGAAGCTATGACATGATGTGGCAGTTAGAATGCCTTCTCAACTCTAATTTCACCATAGTCCAACTTTTTATATCAAAATTGCTCTAAAATGGTCCTAAATCCTAGATAGAAATGTGTTTGGTAGCTATCCAGCATGATGACATCTTTTTGTAGTTGCAGCATATAGCTTTTTGAGCATTTCACTTTAAAAAATATGAGCTAATGCAGGCAATGTCAGGTTTCCTCAACATCCTGTTTGCCATCCAGGGTATAAGAAACAGTAACTGAGGTTAGGCAGTCAAATATTCAGAAATTAAAAATCACTCTTAATCTTGGGCCACATGTGCCATTATTATATCTTATCATTATGTATATATATATATATATATATATTATATATAATATAATACATATAAGTAATTCTGCACCACCCAAACACTGTACTTCCATTCTAGTATATAGTGCAAATCTGAAGCAAAATATTTTGGCTTACCATTTAAACAGCTTTAAAGCACCAGTTTTTCTATTACCATAACACCTGGCACTGACTTTGATAAAACCTCAACAGCAAACATGCATTTGTATATGAGCAGCTACACCTTGCAGATTCTTCCTTGTTAAGTGAGGAACTTATGCCTCACCTTACATCTGATAATATTTTTGATTATGCAATTGTGTGACTAATTTATTATTGTTGATTGGAGTTTTAGGGTGTGCCAACTACTGAGATAACTTTGTGCTCAGTGTGGCTAATTTACAAACTTGATAAGATCTTACAAACAAATTTCAGGTTGCAAATGTAAGGTTACATCACACATTCTTGATTCATGATTCTCAACTTTACACAAAGGGTTCCTCCCAAACTGTGACAACTGCAGTTTAAACCTCAACATATGCAAAATTTGATTTGCAAGGGTCACTGAGCAATATTTCCATCATGGCATGTGCTCTACAACCAACTTGTTCAGGATTACAATGACCTGTGAGTATATTACATATCTAAACTGTGGCAAAAAATTGAAGTGTGCAATCACTAGGCATTTTGGTCATGGAATGGAATGAACATTACTTAAATAAAATAAATGGAGCATTCTCTGACACAATATTGTGAATTGATTGAACTGACAGGTGTAAGCAATGATAAACAAACCTAACTTGACGCTGGTTATTATTACAATGAACCACTTGTACTGGTCATTGTCAACATTTGTACCTAACTCTGCAAACACATCATGTCCATCTTGACACTTGCACGTGCAATAAATGAACCATATACCAACCTCGTCTTACGCGAACTTCTCGCTAGCAGACCG